GTTTTAGTTGTAACTTGAAAGAAATTATAGAGCGTCTGGATGTGACAATTTTGTTTAGTTCATTTAATTAACCGGGGGGGTTATCAATAATTTGAGACACAGGATTGCGTAAATTTCATGTTATAGTTTTGGTTCAATTTCTTAGAAGTGTTCTGTTTTTATTTTATTCCTAGAATTTTTTTTTCGATGTAAATTTCTTTTTAAATTTTATTTGCCGTTAACGAGGTATAGCGCGAAGTAGAGATAAGGTTCTTCGCAGAATTGCCGGGCGTACGTGCCGTTTAGCAAGAAGTTGAAAAATCGACGCTTCGCGTGATTGGCGGGCGGAATGTGGAAGAAAGGAGAAGGGCTTTTGGCTTAAATAGAAAATTTTTGAAGAGAGCGGGGCTTTTTGGTCGTGACAAAGCCAACCGGCGCTTCTTCGGTTACGTGATTTTTGAATTTTGTGGAAGTTTCTTGCGTAGTGGATCCAGGTTTAGTTAGAATTTTTGTCTGCCGTTTAAGAAGAATTTTTGAGAAGTTTAAGAAGTTTGTCGTCGTCCTGTTTTTTTTTTATTTTGCGGAAACACGGAAGTTTTGAATTTGTGGGTACCCGAAGAGAGAAGACGTCGGTGTTTGAGTGTTTGGTTTGCGTGATTGTGTACGGATACCTCTTTTTATCGGAATACGTTATTCGGACTAATTTTAAAAGTAAGTAGTAGTTAGTGGTTTGTTTTGTCTTGTTTTTTTTTGTAATGTTTGAGTAATTTGTTTTTTTTTTGTGTGTGTCATTTATCTGTTTAAAATTGTAACAATTTGTAAAACAGAAATTTACGCAATTTTTTGCCTGAAATTAAACCAGTCATTGCAATCCAGGTTTTGTTTATTAGAGTCAAAGAGAGGTAATTGTCGGCGTCTCTTACTTTGTTTCAAGTTTATTAAATCTGGGGGTAAAGTTTCATATTGGAATTTAAGGGAGGTATTAGCCACCGACCTGGCGAGGTTGCTACCCCTTGTCCGGACGAAGAAAAGGGGTGGTCGGACTCATTTTACGGGCTCTGAGATTTGTGTTTTTAAGAGTTTGTGTGGGATTGAGCTAGTAAGGGTAAGTTGTGTGGGTATCTTTCAGGCTTAGGAAGTTTACACAACAAATTAATTGGCGCCCAATAGCGTGAGGCATCAGGGAAACGCGGAAGTAGGTCGTTTTTTATTGAAAGTTTAAAGTTCATTGTAGGCAGGATTTATTGTGCGACGGGTAAGATTTTATTTGGTATCCGACACGATAAGTTTAAAGGATTTTTTTTAACGCAATTATTTGAAGAGGTTTTTGGTTGTGACAGGTTAAGAAAGGGTTAGGTAGTAACGTTATTGCGAAGGGTAGTTGAGTAGAGACAGGGAAGTTAAACAAAAATTTTTATAAGATTTGGAAAAGAAATAAAAGTGACAGCGAGCGTAGAGACGGTTATTTGTTATATTTTTGTATAATTATAACAGCGTAAATTATTAACAAGAGAAGATTATGGATTCGAAGCCCGAGAGTGGAATTGATGTACCGACGGACGTCAGCGCAGAAATAATACCGGGGTCAGTCGACGTGCCGGAAGGAAAAGGAGAGGTCTCTACAATGGGATTAACGACAATGCAGGAAGGGTTCTTTGCTCAAATGATAACGATGATGAGTGAGATGAGGACAGAGAATAAGCAAATGAATAACCAACTGGGGGACAAATTGAGCGGTCAGATAAAAGAGATAAATAAGAAGATAGAGAACCAGAATAAAACGACAGCGGAATTAAGACAGGACGTGGTGAGAATCATGAACGAGATTAGGCAAGACATGCAGGAGAGCGTCAGAGAGGTAGAAAAGAAGACCGATGGAAATACGAGGGAGATTAGAGAATTAAGGACGGATATGGCCGAGAACATCAGCGTGCTGCACCAACATCACGAAGGGGTGAACAAGCGAGTGATGGAGGTAGAGAACCAGATTAGGATGGAGGTCAGCTACACGCAGCAGGAGTTTGAAAAAGTTGAAAAGGGATTTTGTCATATGCAAGAAGTCTGCAACAAAAATAAAAGTACGAGTGAGGAAGAATTAAAAGAACTACGGAAGGAATTGGAGAATAAGCCGAGACAGGGAGGAATACAGTACGCCAACAATTTTAAAGGGGACCTAGATCGTCTGGAACAGTTCACGGGTAAGGGAAAAGTCCACCCTATGACGTTTCTAAAAATTTTAGAGGCGACGATCCTAAACAACAGGCGAATTTTTGGGAAACTATTCACGAACGTGGACGAAATCAGCTTGATAAGAAGTGTTCTAAAGGAAGACGCGCAGATTTGGTATGACACGGTGGACGAGAAGATTGCCAACTTCGAGTCATTCAAGGAAAATTTTATAAGCCAATACTGGGGCGATTGGGAGCAAAATAAAACACGGGACCAATTAAACATGGGAAAGTATAACCGAAATAGGGGTAGCCGTGTGAAGTACCTGATGGAAAATTATTCACAATTTAAACACCTAGAAAATGGGATACAGGAATCAGTGCTGGTAAGGCGGCTGGCAAAACATTATGAAGAGGAGATTTCCCAGAAGGTCACGAAGGACGACATCACCACGTACGAAGAATTTTTAAGGATGCTCAAACGTTACGACACGGCTGACGAGGAGAAGGACGCCGCCTACGATTATAAGATCAGGGAGCAAGGACGGCAGTATGAAAAACAAGGATACGGAAACCAGTGGAGAGGAAACAGACCATACGGAGCGTATCAAGAAAGGGGTAACCGGATGGAGAATTTGAACCTAAATTACAACAATTATAACAACAATGGAAATTATAACAGGAATGCGAATAATGGGAATTTTAATAGGAATAACAACAATAGAGGGAATTTTAACCGCGAGTTTAATTATGAACAGAAATTCGAAAGGGAATATCAGAAGGACCAGAGGGAGCAGGAGAGAAGACCGGATTATGCAAGAGGAGCCCGAGAAGAGAGACGAGGGGAGGGAAATGCAGAACAGGACAGGAGACGTATTAACCAGATTTTAAAACCGACGCGGGACACCGGAGAGGAAAACAAAATAGAAGTGGTTAGAGCCGAAGTCCATCCACCACCGACGGATTTTTAAGAGGCCGCGCTATTGTCGGATACGTGTACTCGCACCCGAAAGAATTTATTCAAATTGACGACAATAGTGCGGAAGACAAATCGGACAACTTCATTACCAATTTACCAACAATAGGGGTGCTGGTGGAAGGAAAAAGGGCCAAGGCATTGATTGACACGGGGGCGGAAGTTTCTTTAATTTCAGAAGATTTCATTAAAGAAAATTTAGGAAGAGTGGAGAGTTTTACCGTACCCATTAAAGGATTAAAATTAATAACGGCAAATAAGAAAAATTTCGCCAACGTCAAAAGAAAATTTATTTTAGGGATTGAAGTAGGAGGTGAACGGCTGCAGGAAGAATTATTGGTTTTAGCGGGGATGCAGGCGGATTTAATTATCGGGATTGACATTTTAAAAATGTATGATGGAATTGTGGATATAGGAAAAGGAAATGTAAGAATAGGAAAATTAGAAGTGAAAATAGAAGACGAAAAGATCAAGAAAGACCCGGATAACGAAATGGAAATTAACGTTTGTCAGAAATGGGGGAATGAGGAGTATTGGAAAATGTCAAAATTAAATTGCCCAGAAGAGTGGTCGGAAAAGGTAACAGGAATACTGAAGGAAAATCGTGAACTTATCAATGACGAAGTGAGAATGGCGAGAGGTTACGAACACACGTTGCAAGTGGATGATAGGAAAATGGGGAAAATCCAAACGTATTCGGTGCCTTTCCATTATCGAAATGAAGTAAGAACCGTGTTAACGAAAATGACCGAAGACGGAATAATTGAGAAGGCCACAACTAACATTATCAACCCGCTTGTCATCGTGAAGAAGAAGAACGGCTCGCTTCGTTTATGTTTAGACGCGCGCGAACTTAACCGACGGACAACACCTCAGTTAGAATCGCCCCAGAAAATAGAGTCTTTATTAGGGAAAATTGGGGGGAATAAAATCTTTACGAAATTAGACTTACAAAATTCGTTTTGGCTAATTCCTTTAGAAAGAAATTCTAGAAAATTTACAGGGTTCAGTGTCGATGGTGTCACGTATCAATTTAAGGTAGTTCCATTTGGACTAGCCAGCTCGTGCGCAGCATTAGTTAGAGCAATGCAGTGCATTCTCGATAAATTCGATAAATTTTGCCTACATTATGTTGATGACATAATCATTTTTAGTGACACGTTAGAGGATCATTTTAATCACATTCAAGTAATATTGCGGGAATTGAACAGGAATGGAATGAAATTACACATAGAGAAATGCGAATTTATAAAAGACAGGGTTAAATTTTTAGGCTTTGAAATAAATAAAATTGGGATGGAAGTAGAAAATAGCCGGTTGGATGAAATTAATAATTTTCCACGACCAACAAATGTTAGGAAATTACGAGGGTTTCTGGGGATGTTAAATTATTATAGGAAATTTGTACCAAGGTATTCAGAAATTTCATTACCGTTAGTCGGGTTATTACATAAAGGGGTAAAATTTAAATGGGATGAAGGGAAAGAAGAAGCATTTTAAAGAAGTTGAGGGTGGCTGATGGCCCAAAGCAGATTAGTGCCAAGTTATTGTTACCGTATGAGGGGCCCTATGTGATTAACAGACGTTTTGGAGATAGTTATGAGTTAAGAGTAAGGGATTCTGAGAAAATAAGGGGTAAATTTCATGTAGACATGCTTTTTCGTTATGATGATGACTCAGAGGAAGGGGTTGAGTAATCGTTAGTAGAAGCTTAGCTTCGTAAATGTTTGGCGTTTGCTAGAATGGTGTTAGATTTTGAGTTTGGGTTTAAAGTTTTAGTTAGGGACGATAGGGATCTCAGGCCGGAGGTGGGGGGCGGCGCCTTTTTGAATCTGGACAGGGCGGCTCGCGTGTTAGGGTCGGTTGGTTAAATTGCCCATAAAAACCCGGTAATTCCAAAGTTTTTTTTTATTTGTAGTCAGGGGAGGATTGTAATTTTGTGTTTTTGTGTTCAATTTAAAGGGGGAAAAATGTTGTGTTATTTTGTTTTAGTTGTAACTTGAAAGAAATTATAGAGCGTCTGGATGTGACAATTTTGTTTAGTTCAATTAATTAACCGGGGGGGTTATTAATAATTTGAGACACAGGATTGCGTAAATTTCATGTTATAGTTTTGGTTCAATTTCTTAGAAGTGTTCTGTTTTTATTTTATTCCTAGAATTTTTTTCGATGTAAATTTCTTTTTAAATTTTATTTGCCGTTAACGAGGTATAGCGCGAAGTAGAGATAAGGTTCTTCGCAGAATTGCCGGGCGTACGTGCCGTTTAGCAAGAAGTTGAAAAATCGACGCTTCGCGTGATTGGCGGACGGGGTGTGGAAGAAAGGAGAAGGGCTTTTGGCTTAAATAGAAAATTTTTGAAGAGAGCGGGGCTTTTTGGTCGTTACAAAGCCAACCGGCGCTTCTTCGGTTACGTTATTTTTTGAATTTTGTGGAAGTTTCTTGCGTAGTGGATCCAGGTTTAATTAGAATTTTGTGTCTGCCGTTTTAAGAAGAATTTTTTGAGAAGTTTAAGAAGTTTGTCGTCGTCCTGTTTTTTTTTTATTTTGCGGAAACACGGAAGTTTTGAATTTGTGGGTACCCGAAGAGAGAAGACGTCGGTGTTTGAGTGTTTGGTTTGCGTGATTGTGTACGGATACCTCTTTTTATCGGAGTACGTTATTCGGACTAATTTTAAAAGTAAGTAGTAGTTAGTGGTTTGTTTTGTCTTGTTTTGTTTGTAATGTTTGAGTAATTTGTTTTTTTTTTGTGTGTGTCATTTATCTGTTTAAAATTGTAACAATTTGTAAAACAGAAATTTACGCAATTTTTTGTCTGAAATTAAACCAGTCATTGCAATCCAGGTTTTGTTTATTAGAGTCAAAGAGAGGTAATTGTCGGCGTCTCTTACTTTGTTTCAAGTTTATTAAATCTGGGGGTAAAGTTTCATATTGGAATTTAAGGGAGGTATTTAGCCACCGACCTGGCGAGGTTGCTACCCCTTGTCCGGACGAAGAAAAGGGGTGGTCGGACTCATTTTACGGGCCCTGAGATTTGTGTTTTTAAGAGTTTGTGTGGGATTGAGCTAGTAAGGGTAAGTTGTGTGGGTATCTTTCAGGCTTAGGAAGTTTACACAACAATATGGTCCAGAACAAGAGGGATAATAAATAAATAAATAAATAAATACGTAAAAATCGTAAGCCATTATCAAATGTTGCAACGCTGGTATTCTGTATGCAACTGATGAGTGATAGAACGCGTTGTGTTCTGGATCATCCGCATACGTAAGGGCTCAACTGATGATGCCCGTGCGTATTTGATCTGTCGAGGGATGGTACGCCTGTGAAACGCCTCTGTTTCATCAGGACTAATATGGTCCAGAACAAGAGGGATAATAAATAAATAAATAAATAAATACGTAAAAATCGTAAGCCATTATCAAATGTTGCAACGCTGGTATTCTGTATGCAACTGATGAGTGATAGAACGCGTTGTGTTCTGGATCATCCGCATACGTAAGGGCTCAACTGATGATGCCCGTGCGTATTTGATCTGTCGAGGGATGGTACGCCTGTGAAACGCCTCTGTTTCATCAGGACTAAACATCAGTCGTTTGTGAAACGGGTCTTAGGATCGGTATATTATAAAACTCGCTTGAACGGATATTGGCGTTCAATCGGTTTTTAAGTGCGATTGTACATATTATAAGCGCCGCTTGAGTCTTAATCAGAACTCAATCTCCGATTGTAGTCATCCCGCAGCCCGTTAATTTTCGGCCCTTAGAGTTCAAACTAGCGAAAATACTTTCTGCTAGAATAGCCAGCGGAACGTGGGAGTAAAATCGCGCATGTACATTTAATCGGCTGAAAATTGGCGCTGGTAACGCGCCTTATAACTAAAAATTTCTGGCGTTACAAAATTCTTAAGATCGAAACTGGCCTTGATAAGTTAGACTGGCGCATCACGCATAATAATTAATATGATGTAGGAGGTGTTTCAAAGCACCACACAAGGGTAGAAATACATATTGGTCTGTACTTTCAACCTCAGAGGAATCCGACACCTTTATGTATTACTTGCTTCCCCTCCTCTCCGAAAATGGACGACGCAGGAGTTATCGTGCAAACACCGCCATCGAAATGGCGTGAGGGTAAAAGAACAAGGGTCCCCTTGGACGCAACAGTTTTAAGAGGAGGGCATATAGCGATCCTTAGAGAACATTTTCGAGGCGCCATCTAGTCGTTCATGGATTAGTTACTTGCGCGTGCGATAGGGAATAAAAACGGACGTGACTTTTTTCTGTGAAATATGACATGCCCTCTAGATTTCTCTAGAAGGCATATATAAATAATAAATCTAAAATCATGTAATTAAATAGGATAAATAGGAAACAATTATAGGATTTGTCGGTGTGATACATAGGCAACTAACATATCACGGTTGTATTTGAGTTAATCCCTAAGATTCTATTATCTAATATTGCATAATTATGTATAAATCTAATCAATGCGCGTGTTGCGAAAATTGTTATTAATGTAAGCGCGTCTCTAGTTTGAATTTATGAGTAGATCATTTCAAATCCAACGGTAGGAACAGTGGAGTGGTAACATCCGTAGTTCGATAGATAGCGCCAACGATACGTGAAGAATCAAACATGGCGTTTCTATTTCTATTTATCCGCAAATGTCAAACGAAAATAGACGGTATCGTTTGAGTTTCAATTAAAATCGGAATTCAAAAAAAAATTGTGCGCGTCGACTAGTAAACAGTTTAATATGTAAGCATGGGCGAACACAAAAATGTCTACATCGAGTGTGGGTACAGTGTATATAAAATCTGCATGTACACCATTACTCAAAGAAAACCTCAGCAGGATTTCGGTATTATTTTCGGCGTTTCTTAGTGAGAAGGGTGCTCAAGATGATGTTATAAGTTTCGAAGTGAGTTACGCCATCGCGGGATCGTCGAGTCGAAAACCGAGTCCGGATTTTATAAGCAGGTTACAGGTATTTACCTACATTTTCGTTTTTAACTGGGACGTAGATAGTAAAGTAGAAAATGCTACGCTACTACAATTCACCGTAAACGGATATGACCCGCTCGCTCGAATGGGGACAGCACTTTTACTTTTTATTGACGATACAAAATTATTGCGTTTCCGAATTTCGCATTGTCGGGACTCGAGAGGGTTGAATTGTGCGTGGTAGCGTCCGTAGAGTGAAAGGTTACGATTCGAAGGTTGAAATTTGTACGATGCATCCTGGTCCAAACCGCTTTTCTGGCTAATTATTTCCTATTTGTGCGTGACGTCACTTTGTTGTTATACGATCAATGGTCAACGACTACTGCGATTGTTTTTTTTTGCGTGCGTAAAGGCGCTGCTGATAACGGAGTCAGGGTCGGATTTACCCTCGGATTTACCTGAAATGGTTTGGGGCGTCGGAAGCGGATTTGTGCTTCGAGAGCACCTTAACAAAGAGGTGTGGGTGGGTGGTTTGATGTGAATGAAAGATTACGTAGACATAAGAGTACAGTTCCTCTCCTCTGTAATTTGTTGCGGTGGCCTCGCGTTCTCGACGTCATACGGGGAGATCCGGGTCGTGCATGGACCGGGCCCGGTCGGTGAACCGTCATCTGTTTGACCCACAGTACTTGCGGATCTCTTTCCTCGAATGGATTTTGATCTGAATTTGTTGTTTACAACGCATGATTTTCAGAATTCAAAAATTCGCCGCAATTGAGTTACTTTGCGGTAGACGCTCGGGTGCCTCGGCGACAAAAGAAATAAGTTTTCCCATACCCACCGCCACCTCTTCGCCGATGCTTTCTCTTTTCTATGTCGTTTCACCAAAGTATGTGTCGAGTACCGTCCGGGTCCGAAACTAGGTCCACGCCGAGTGCACCATAAATAATCTCAATGAAAACGGCCCGAGTTTCGAAATTCAGTTCATTATTATTAAAAGTCGAAGCAACACACCAGGATGTGAAATTACCTTTCTGGCTGTGGTGAGTGTTTTTTTAACGCAGCATGCAGGAGATCCGGTTGTGATGATTGCAAGATATGACCGTTATTACTGAGGTGAGAATCTTATTTTTTTATTATCGATTTTTATGCGTTTTCACACCGGAAAACCCGCGGCATTGTACAGGGTGTTCCGCGCCCATTCCAAAGCTTTTGTTTTTCAAAATTGCTTTTGAGAAAATTCAATTTCCCTTGACATTTTCTTGTTCTCAATAAATTTGTAAAATTGACATTGTACAAATTGTATTCGAAAATTAATTTCCGGCAACCATGCCCTTCATGTCCGTATTAGTTTCCGTTACCTATTTATCGCCTTTCTACAAGTAGGCGTTGTAAGATTTGTTTCCTTGTTTTTAATAAACGTCTCCTAATTGGTCAAAATTAGCGCCCTTTTCATCTACACAATTAAAATACAATTGAGGCAGCTGCTAATTTGAGTATAAAGGAGATAATTTGAGTGACACATTTTTTAGTGGAATATATGTTTTATGCTCGGTTTTATGCTTACTATAATAATTGAACCTTGAAGAAACGCGCAAAGTACACATTAAAATGAGATGATAGTTTATTTTACATAAGGAAAAAAATGCTCTTCCAAGAATGACTTTTTATCGGGTGTGAATTAGGTATTCATCATTTGCAGAAATCACCTCTGCGATCAACGAAATCTCCTCAAAGTTAAGTCTATGATGGTGAAGTTAGCCTGACAAAGAAACATTTTACTAATACTACTGTTACCGGTGAAGCAAAATATTTAATTATTTTGCTTACTTGCGTATTTCCCGGGGTGTAAAATACACAGATATATTTGGACATTCTTGGAAATCCATGGGTTACCTGATATGTCTCTGGAAATCGTCGACCGATTCGGAATATCCATTCATGTTATCGACACGAGTACCAAGAACTTCGCAGTCAGGGAATTCTATTCAATTTATTTTGTTGGGACCAATCATACTAAAATGCAATAGAGATCGCTGTTAACTCAATACCGACTTCTCTCAGAATTAAAAATGTTCTTTCTGGTTACGTTACAGGTCGTTGATTTCGTTGGGAAAACGGTTAAATGCTAAGGTTAAATGGAGCCCGTTTTGGGGCCGAATCTAACCCTAAGGACTTATAAAATGAAGAAATTCCGAATATTTTCGAAGATAACCGAAAAAAAACGAACTTCGCTGATTTTTTCTTTTTGTCTCGCTTTGTTTTCTTGTGGCTTTATTTGGGAAGATTATTAAAAACAAATAGGTAACACTTTTTCTCAATAATAATAATAGTTCTTTCTTGCGACAACTAACATTTGACACTGGACAGAACGAGTCAAATCATTCAATAAAAACATATAGTACCTACATAGCTCCGCAAACACTTCGTTACCGATCTACAGGGTGTGATAATTATACAGTTCATTTATGAACATATGCAAGATACAAATTCAAATGCGAACTGTCAAAACGAGTGTTAAAACTAATAAACACAATCGATTATCCAAATAAAGCCGGATGCGACTGGACCATTGGAAAAGTTTTACTTTCATTTAGCTATAACTACCGTGAATTGATAACGGTCGCAAATACGAAAAAATTACAAGAGACCAAAAAGGTTTTAAACTCGGTTTTAAACAATTAACCTCGCAATTAACAAACCAGAACATTATGTTCTCCGAGATGTTCTCTGAAGATATCACTAAATGTAAATGTTTTATACTTCTTTTTTGGCATTATGGCTCGCGTTATAATCATACAGACGCAACTTATTCTTGTTAACTGTGGTCCTGAAGTATAGTTTAGACCTTTGTACTGTAATGTAAATTTAATTATCTACGGCATTTATTTATTGACAATTAATTATTAATGAATTTATAGCAGGTAAATTTATCACATACGAGCGCGAACTTCAATAATAATCTCTTCGGCATCGATGTTGGCACTTGCATAAAACACGCTTCAATTTGCTTATATAGCAAACGGAAAGAGTCTAGAAAAAAATCATGAGACGTTCTCGAAGATTTTAAGGTTTAAAGCGAGGTTTAAAGTTTTTGAAGATAAAACGATGATAGTAAATCCGTGTTTTTCTATCTGTACAACATCATAATTATTTTTCTAGAAACAATATCATCATAATTCTTTCTCCGCTTCAACGGTCTTAAACTACAATGATATGTAAAAATTAACGAACACCATAATTTCATTGTACATCTCGTTGTACCTAATGTGCTAATGTCAAGGCTAATGTATGGAACGCTGTTTTAACATTTAATGTGCAACAATACTATAATCTTAAAGTTTTGCCCGAATTTCTATTATCCAATTAAATAATTAATTTGATCTAAATGATACTTTCAAATCATTTTTTTTTCTTGTTGATAATGAAAAAATAATTATTTTTATCTTGTTGATAATTTTAATTCCATTCCGCCATTTAAAATTATTTTATAGTAAATGGCTATTTCAGCCATTTAATATTATGTGAGATAAAATTAAATGGCGCCGTGCGCTGCCTTTCTTTTTCCCTATAAAACAGCGTATTTCCATCTCGCTATGACTTGCAAAGATGGCCATTTAAAATTATCTAAGATAATCGTAAATGGCGGAAGAATTAAATTGATCTTGTTGATAATTTAAATTTCGCAAATTTCAACAAGATAAAAAAATGATTTAAAATTATCATTATGATAAAAATAATTATTTTATCAAATATGAATTATTTTTATCAACGAGATAATAAAAATGAATGCTTTTTATCTTGTAGATAATTTTAATTATTCTATTTATAGACGTCAGCTATATATTTTTTTCACATTGAGGAACATTCCGTTACGTTTAAAAATAGTACTGTTTTATGAAAGAATGTAATATCTCGTGTAATATAAATTCATTTTTTTCAATGAGCCACAGGCTTCATTTTTCCTCGCATTTTTCTAAATTGGACAACTGCATTCATGTCAGTTTGTCTTGACGTATTTGTTGATTAATGAATTCGTGCAATACAAAATTGCGAAGGACTAGCGCTAAAATGCATCGAGGCGGAGGGCTTTCAATATATCTTATACGAGTAAGTTCTAGGCCGCTAACTATCTTGCAGAACCAATGAAATTTTATATTTTCGATATTCAGTTAGCGTGTTTTTGTGGTAAAACATTGTTCTTTTACGTTAAAAAAACTTTTTTTGCTACAATGCAATTAGAAACTATTAACTAATAATTTAGGTACAAATTTTGTTTGCCATTAATGCTTTTGTTTCATAGCTACCTTACTTTTTGTGTAAATTTTGCTCTATTGCGGATGTGACGCATTCTTTCCGAGAAATATGACGTGTTTGTTTTAGAATATTCGAGAGCGTTCGATAACTTTCGAAAAAGACCGGCGTTTGCAAAATCGAATTGTGCTGCACTCAGTTTTAACATCGATGCGAAGTGAAGGACTAAGCTATTATACAGTGTGAGCAACAATGATTGAAGCGTGCGTCATCACCGCTTGTTCCTATTAATATCAAAACTACCTTCTTTGTATGGAGTTGTATACGAAAATGACGTTCTGCGCTGTCACAGTGACGTGCGTCTATTCGTATTTCGTATCTTGTATCAAATCAGCATATGCTATGAGCGGCACATTGCCAATTTAGCTGAAGCGGCACGCTTCAATCTTTGTTGCTCACTCTGTATAAATTAATCCACTTTAAAAATTTATTGTTAGTTGATTGTAAATAAATAAATGGCCGTTTGCACCGACAAATTTAAGCGGAGCTTAGCTTAAAATCCATGACAACCATTGTCTCCATAATCGTTGCCATGGATTTTAAGCAACGCTTAAGCTAAGCTCCGCTTAAATTTGTCGGTGCAAACGGCCATAAATGACGTTACAATTTAGATCCCGCAGGTGACTACATTAATTAAAATGAGAGTTCGGGAAGAGGTACACGCTTAGGTCGCATACAGGGTTGTCATTTGATAACTAGTAAATTAAATTAACTAAATGGGAAATGGATGCATGTTAGGCAATAGGCTCGGACCCGTCGATTGGGTCTTTGGATTGCGCATATCTTGACAGAAAATGTAGGTATACAGGGTGCCCAAAAAAAAAAGACGCAGCAACAATATTTTTTCCTTAAATAGAAATTCTAGACTTCGCACCAAATACCCATAATTAAAACGACTGAATATGAACTAAGTGCTCGCCGTGTTGCCCCAGCATCTGGATCCTATAAAAAACAACAATGCTCTCTTAAACTGAAATACGCAGCAAGAACAAACTTAATGTCCAACACGGTTTAAAAGTTATTCACTACACGTAACACGCATGGAAAATCAACCTCAAAATGTCTACAACCTGTAAATATTCTATGATATGCAAGGCCCACTCTATTCCTCCCAAAATGGCTAACTTCACAACTTATACCATAGGTACTTAAATATTCACTAGATCAGTATTTTCTTTTTTGGTTCACGTAAGTTCAGTTACTATATTACCCCGATCTAAACCTAGCAACTTATTTACATATTACGTAGATACTCGAGTTTTTTTCTTTTGCGCCTTATATGACTTGCCTGTTTGCTTATTCATTTTAGTTGTTTGTAAATTTACTAAGCTTTATGAAAAACAGTTGAGGAATATATATTATTAACTTATTATCTCGCTTATTATTAATAATATTTGGCATTTGATTGTGTCAACCAAGGCGCAACATTAACCAAACTATAAATAAATAAGTAATTGATTTCTTGGAGGAACCGGGGCAAATTTTCTGGGCCGAATCTTGCAATATCAATGACAAATGGCAATGTTGCATTATTAATACACTTCGCGTTCGCCCCTGGAAGAGTCACTCTCGGCGAATTGTTCCACTTAAACTGGTAGCTGTACTGTATTGTGCTACAGCGAGTATCAGGCATCGGGGCGCCAGCAAGTCAACAAAAGGCGATAAAAAGTGAAAGCGACGCATTCTTTCGTTGAAGTATGATGCGTTCAAGGGAGCCGCGTACGTATTTTGTATAAACCGTCATGTATTGAATGTGTCCCAAACTGTGTCCTAAGGTCACGTGAAAAAGTTGAAAAACAAAAACTTCACAATTCCAAATCTTCCGGCTTAGGCTTAGGCACCGAAAACGGAAAAAATATTTGAATATTCAAAAAATTCAGAGAGACCTTACAACTGAGAAGTAAAGGTTTTTGTACGACATATAATATTGGACCTTTTTCTAGCCCAATACTCGAGCGGTTTTTTTTTCGTTTCAGAAATATGTAGATGAAATATGTCGCGAGGGATGTGCGGGCGCGGTGGCGGGAGAGGATTCAAGTTACGATTCAGACTACGAGGCCGATCTTCCGTCGAGACACAACGATGTTTCGCGAACGACTAGCGATACTCTTGCCGCCGAGTACGCGGAGTACGTTCAGACTCTTCCCGACATCTCGCCTGGATATACTGCTAGGTAATTTCATTTTGAAAATATCGGGTGATCGGTTGTAGAAAAAAAATTAATTCAATTGTTTTCAACTTGCTTAAAGCACATTCGATTTTTTTACTTTGCAGAGTGGAGTTTGCGCTCAAATTGGGATACACGGAGAAATTAGTACAGGCAGCGTTGCAAAAGTTAGGTCGCTCACCTGCACAAAATGAACTTTTAGAAGAATTAATTAAGTTAGACGCACAACGTGGAACGTCATCTTGTGATAGCAGCCCGGTAGAAAATCAACTAGACGGTATCGAGTATCAAACCGACTGTCTCGTTAGTCACGTACTCAGACCCATAGTGATAGACGGCAGTAATTTGGCCATGAGGTAATCCTTCCGCCTTCGCGTTGTGTTCCCTCCTAATCGCCTACTTTTAGCCATGGAAACAAGGAAATCTTCTCCTGTCGCGGTATTAAAATATGCGTGGATTGGTTTAAAACGAGAGGACATAAGGATATAACGGTCTTCGTACCGAAATGGAGAAAGGAAGCTCCCAGACCCGACAATCCCATTCGTGACCAAGAGATCTTGGCCGAACTAGAAAAAGATAGGGTGCTTGTCTTTACACCGTCCCGATTAGTCGGCGGAAAACGCATGGTGTGTTACGACGACAGGTACATACTCAAACTCGCTTCGGACGTCGACGGCATTGTCGTTAGTAATGATAATTATCGCGACTTGGCCCAAGAAAACAATGAATATCGCAAAGTGGTGGAGGAACGCATTTTGATGTACTCATTTGTGAACGATCGCTTCATGCCGCCCGATGATCCTTTGGGACGATCAGGCCCCACGCTTGACAATTTCCTAAGGTGCCAACCGAGAAAGGGCGATCCGCCCCCTCCATGTCCGTACGCAAAGAAGTGCACTTACGGTAATAAGTGCAAATATCACCATCCGGAACGAGGACCTCTCCCTCACAAGAGTGTAACAGAAAGACTATCCGAATATGCACAACGCCATCTACAGGCGCGCGAGGGCGAAATTCGCAAGACGCCGCTCGGCAGAACGCGCTCCAACGTCCCGCCACCCAAAGAAGTTCAGCACACGGTCGTCGCGAAAAGCCGTAGCGTGGATAACGTCGGCGCCACTTACCCTCCCATCCCACCTCCCGCCGAAAACCTACACAAGAAGCTCCAACGCCAGCTCACCCTAAACCCGTCGAACGACCCGCGCCTCGTCCGCATGCGATTCGTATCACCGATTCAGCCACAAATCCAACAGTCTTTCCTTACACCCAACCATCCCAATTGGGAGCTGCACCAGCACGTGCAACGCATAGCTTCCGCCCCCGACTCATATCGGCCGTGGCCTCCCAATACTCACGTACAGCATCGACAGATGCAACGTATCTCGAGCTGCTCCGATCCACAGCTAAACGTTTACCCGGCTCACTGGCCGCAGAGCGCCTCCGTCCAAGAGGACGCCAGACGCAAACTGCACTACCACTTGTCGGCGATTTTTCCCGAGGAGCAGGTAACGCAAGCCATGCAGCTATATCCGGACGAAACGAATCCCCAAAAAATATGTGCCGCTATTTTAGCTATGTTTCCAGCTAAGTAGGTTGCTTTTAATTTAAGTGTTATATAATCTCTGTTGTTTTTTATTGTTACTAATTGTTGCTTATGTGTATCGCTTTTTCATATGTATAGTTTAGTGGAGTGTTTGTGTCTACGATTTCGATGGGAATCTTCCATTTACTTAAATAGATTTTAAGTATCTCCATCAGAGGATTTTCCAAGCGAATGAATAGGTAATTTAGCGACTAAAACTTCATATTGAAGAAGGAACTGCTACTTACTATTAAGGATTTGGTGGTTTTTATATGATGAACGTCCCTTTTGTCATTATAAGTTGATACTGTGTATCGCTAGTAAAAATTGTTGTAATTTTGTCATTTTAATCTGTAAACGACATCGTTAATTTCATTATGACCATTACGTTTTAGTCACAAATCGTAGTGTGCCAAATTTTTATGTCCGTATCTCATTAATCACCCCATATGAGACTGCTTGTAAAATGTGTTGTCTTATATTTGTACACTTTATTCAGTGTTTTAGTAAAATTGCATATTGCATTTGTAGAAAGGAATTATTTAACAAAGTTTTAAGGAAGAGAATCTCCTACTCATATAATATTTAAGAACGACTATAATAATGAACATAGTAAAAATGCTAAAAACTGTTTTATTTTCTTTTCCTTCATTTATTCGTTGTACTTACATCAATTGAGAATGGTGTCAATGCGGGCTGCTGCCTGCCACATGTGCATTAAAATCTGTAAAAGTGTAATTAAAAGGTTTTATTAAGAAATAGTTTTTGATCTTTTCACATGATAATATTACGCCGGAAAACAGAATGGAATGGGCGACGGCGAGACCAGAGGCAGTGAGGGGTATGGAAACGAAGCGATCATTGGCTGTGTCTTGGTGTTTCTGTCTTTTTATAAAAAGCGTACATTAAGTTTCTGTTTGGAGTCAGGATTCATTTAACTTATTACTAAATACTTTTTATTTTGTAACTTAAGTATTTTTTAATAAGTAACGAAGCACACGTTCACTCCGAAGTTATGACCACACTGTATATTTGTGAAGTCATCAAGCTTTGTTGAACACCCAGTATCAAATTTGTCGCGTCGGCGTCCCGAACCGCTCGCCAACAACTGGCTCGTTAGACTAGGACGGGATTTGTAAACGCTCGCGAACCGTTCCTGAGCAGCTCGTGGCGAACCGTTTCCTGTCTCGCGACATGTTTAACTGGTACACAGACCGATGACTGCTGTTGGTTTGCGACTGGTTCGGCTTTTCCATGGATCGCTAGAAGTTTGTTGTAAAAATAATTTCAAAGAACAGTTTTTGAGCAGTTCGCAAACGGTTCGGCTCGCATGTGTATACGCACCTTTACCGAGCTCCTGAATTTAGTTTTGCTTGACGTGTGAGTTTACCTAACTTTATTTTACCGCCGCTATAAGTAAGTACGTAAGTTTTGTTATGAATTTATGAGTTTTCCGACCGTTCCGGTAGGAATATTTAAATTATTCTTACAGCCTTCGAACGCTCTTGTGCCAGAGAAGAAGAGAGATAATTAATATTTTGATATCTCAGCGCCGTTAATTAATAATTAAGCATTTTAGACTCTCATAATAAGCGAAAACCAGGATAGAAACGAGTTGTTTATTCGGTATCAGTCTCGCAGCTGTGCCTGGGTCAAGAAAAAGACAACGTTGTTGCACCGGAAAATTCCAATTAAGATTAGGCGTTGATTCGATTAATGAGTATTGCTGTTTGAATGCGCTTAATTGCGTAAGCATGGATAATGAATTACGTTTTAATGAGTCGTAGAAAAACCGACAGACGGCGTCCAGAGTTAGGTATATCAAAATGAACGCGCTTAAAAGACGGGAAATGAATTGCACCGCTCTGACGAATACAGCGAGGAGCTGGAAATTCCCTATTCCACTTCCCTAAAATTCGGATTTCTTTATAAAGTAAACGCTGGATTTTGTGGGTGCCATTTTCTTTCCGTAAGAACTTTTGCAGTTTGTAATTGTCGTAAGTATCTTTCGCATTTTTTACCGTTACTAGTAAGTACCGGTACCGCCATTTTCCGTCAGATCTTTTGCTTGCCGTTGTTGATTCTTGCTGTAAGTAACTTAATTTATTGAGTAAATTTTTGCGGAACCCCACCGTAGCTTAATCTTTTGTTATTTTTGCGTGCCGTATAAGTTAGATCTTTTTTGCTTCTGCATTTTTCACCGTCAACTTGAACCCGTAGAATTCCTGGAGCTACCGTTTTTCCGCTTGAGTTTACCCCAGAGGCTATACGAGACGGACCCCACTAGTCCGTGGCTACCGCCAACCTGGACCAAGCGCAAGCTCTTCGCTTGGTGGCGCTCGAGTCCGTCCGTTTAGCCGTTTCGTGGTCTTCCGCCGACCGAACTGGTTAATTAACTACAAAATCACAAACATTGTGATTTATTCATATATTGTTTTCAAAATAAAACTCCAGTTATTATTTCACTAATTGCTATTTCATTTCTAAAGCCCATCGACTGTGCGCGAGCTCAAAGTTCGTCAGAAGTGGAATACAGCCAGACGTCTTAGTTATCTGATACGGCGTGACGTTAACCCTTTCGGCGTTCTGGCGATAAAAGGTCTTGTGCGCATGAAGCCGTCATTCAATAGGAAGCTTATTCCAAGGACGAGTTTGGAGGGACAGGTATTTCATTAAGGAGATAATGTCTAATGATGATATCCTAACAATGGAAATGGTTGAGCGTCTGACGCCTTCTCCAAGGCAGGATGGTGACTAAAAATTGCATCTCTAGTACTGGAAGATCTGGCACTTACCCCAAACCACAATTCGCAGGCGGCGGCAAAAGTAGGTCTTGTGTTGGGGTCGAAGCAGGCGAGAGGAGTAGGATTACCTTTCTCTAGTGTAGCGTGGCACCTAATAGTTTTGATCCCGATCTGTCACCATCAGACTGGACATGCTAGACGAAGTGGTCCAACTGGTCTGGAAAGGAGAAGGCGCAAGGAAGAGGACTTAACGCACCATTTTTGCCGGCATCTTTATTATAGGAGAGTAATGGTGTCCGTCTATCCGTTTGTGCGCCCGTGAACACGATAATTGGCAAACTCTTGGGGTGATTCGGTTCGAGCTGTGTACAGTTAACCTATAATACCACATGTATAATAACAAGGTTTATTCTTCCTGCAGTCCAGTCCTTTTTTAACTTTTCTTCTTCCAGAACGAACAATTTCCTGGCGGAATTGGAGGTGTACCACGGCAAGATATTAGAGCCAGTAGCCAGCCAGCAAGGGTGCAGAAAAGACAGGCCGATGAAGAAGCACCAGTCAACATAGGTATAGTGGTGCGGGGGCCCGGCGCTGACATGATGTTATAACACCTTCTGAAGGGACACCTTTAAAAAGCATTATGCGAGCCACTCTGTAATTGGGCGCAAGCCTGTTGAGAGGGCCCAGAAGAAGAGGGACAAATATTATCAGCAAATAGCGAGCCACTTGTCCAAGGACTTCTCTAATGGAGCGTAAGGAGAGGTGTATGCGGGGTGGCGAATCCGGGCATGTGTTGGTGGCGTGTCCCAAGAAGGTGGAGGTCGAGATTACGCGGAGGCGGAGTCTATTGATAAACAAATATGAAATAATGTTTTTACAACGAATCAAATATAAACAAATAACATTGGATACAAGCAATATGCAATAATCGTTTTGTGTTTATCCGTAAAGAACTCCACCAGATTAATTGAATGAATAGAAAAAACAATTTAAGGCCCGTATTTACATCAGGCGACTGGACCCAAACAACTCCAATTTCGACATTCTTTAGACAGCAGTTATATGGCACTTTTGTGAGATACACAAACATTGCCCCGCGACCTCGTCGGTGGGGCTCCTGGGTCGCGGCTGCCAAGTTCGGAATGGTTCCATTATACATAAACAGGCTAACCATTGTCCACTGTTTAATTTCGCCTGGCCTTTGTTTCGGCACGTTAGTAACCGCACTTAGACCTCATATGTACTGTGCAAAAAAAAAACGATTAATCGATAACTTATCGATTAATCGACGTAACTTATCGATAATTATCAATTAATTGACGGCCGATAAATTAAACAACATTTATCGATTAATCGATAATTCTCGGTTATCGATAATTAGTCATTTAAGAGTAGTGGTTTGCAAATAACGATTAATAGATAATGGATAAATTAAAAAAAAATAGTAGACTATCCGATAATTTATCGAAAATTTTAAAGGACTTGTCGGTAAATCTATACTTAGCGATAATCTATACCGATTAATCTCACAACTAAACTAAGAAGATAGATAATTACGAGGATAATTAACGACATAAACTTGAGAAGTCCATTTTCAATGTTTATACCAGTTTACTAGAAACAAAAGCGATCAAGTAAGAGCATTGTGAAGTTACCATGATCACAATTCACAACCTACTTCTCTACTGATTTTTGAGGATTAATTATCGTCCACTTGATCACCTTTGATTTCAGAAAACTTCAGCATACCTACCTACAGTTACTTTAATATTTTTCAAAAGATCCTGTTTTTATTTAAATTATCTCTCGCAATACCAATACCACAAAAGGTTGGCGAGTGATACCTACCCCTTGAGAAAATATTTGTATCGATAAGACTTATGAAAAAGTATCCAGTATATAGTTTTCTCTTTATAATTATCGCTACTTATCTATTAATCGATAATTATCAGAGATGGACAATTTTCGATGTGTCAATAATAATCGATTATTATCTCGATTATTATCGACAGCTAAAACAATCATTATTGGTTATTATCAAAAGTTAATAATTATAAAGTTATAATTATCAAACATTATTGATAATTGTCGATTATTATCGAAAGTTATCGATAATTATATAAAGTTCTCCTTTAGAACTAAACAGATTTATCGATAAAAATTTCATTTATCGCCCAGCACTAGTAATGATGGTATTTATCTAAATGAATTAAATGTCAAAGCCCTGTCTAGGCGTTCCAAGACGCTTCTGCTTCCAAGGAGTTTTCTTTTCCTAGTATATATATGCGCGACATCTTTGACGAAAAGTTCCTGGCCCTCTTTCCATCCTTATATCAGTTTGAGAGCAGGTTGAATTCTGACACACAGAAGAGTGTGTAAGGTTTGGAGGACAATATAACCTTTTGCAGGATTGTCTTGGAGCAATGCAAGATCTATCTTGGCCATAGTTTACCTTTTGCAAGTTAGTTCCAGGTTGTGGATAGCAATGATTTATTTAGTCAATATAATATAAGGTACACTACAGCATAATATTAAATATATTTGATACATCTATACATTAGACCCATCGGGACTCAGTTGGGGCAATTATTTAAAACGCGCTTATTGTTCCTATACTCGATCGTAAAAATCTACCTAATCAATTCCTTGTACAAATACATCCTCTCTGCAAAGCTCCTGATTTGCTCTCACTTTAAAAGATGCACACGTACCACTGCGACCTTTATTACTAAATGGGGAATCGTCAAAAGCCGTACAGACATACAAATTGCTAAAAAAGTATAAATGCGCTACAAACATAACGAGATTACACTTCTTCTAATACTCATTTTTTTTTGGAAAAGTTGTGTGTTTACATATACTTGGGGGAGTGTTTTTGGTTTTTTCTGGAATAAGATCCAGCGGTAAAATAAATAAATAAACTCGATCTTAAGCATTTCGTTGTTAATAAATTTGGCTAGCCGAGCTAGCCTTACGCTGATGTCACGCCGACGTCTCGTTCTCGCCCCATCCCTCACTATCACATTCGGACTCGCTCGCCGAATCTGAATCACTGAACTCGACCGCGACTCGCCGAGCTAAAATGCTGGCGACGTCGTGGAGGCCATTCCCTCGTTCGACCTCCTTTTGCTCGATCTTCTCCACTTTGCGTAGCTTGATGCCGTCGCGAATCGCTTTTAGCAGATCGTTTCTCGGATCGATCATCGGCGGCGGCGCTTGCTTGGAGATGGGACGATCTTTGATCGGTGTCAGTTTGGGAGGCGACGAGCTCATTATTTTCGAGAGATCGCCATTCATTAGCGGAGGGCTTAGCGGACCATTTGTTATTAGCGGCATTGGGGGTGGAGGTGGCGGTGGTGGTGCTTGAACTGGAGTGGCCTGTTTGGGGGGAGAGGCTTGTTTGGGTATTGGAGGCGGTGGGGGAAGATCTTGGGATGGTTCCGGAGTAATTTGGTGCGAATGAGGACTATTGGATCGTGAGTTGCTTTGCTGGCGGGATATGATGTGCTGCGCAATTCCGTTAGGTGGCGACACAGCAGTTTCTGGAGGCGGAGGCGGTGGTGGTAGCGCATCCCGTCCAGCGGACATGCTTCGGCCTCGTGTTGGGGTATTTGCTGTTGGGGTGGACGTGTTGCTGGGGGGTGCTGGTGGAGGTTGACTAGGCCTAATTTTTCCGCCACGTGTAGGTGTACTTGTCTGATAGTACTGTTCGGGATTTTGCATATTTTGAGTATTGTAGATGTCGGGTTGGTAGGGATTTTCTTCATACATGCCATCTGGTAACTCCTGCTGATATGACCGACGCAATTCTATGGAATTGGGCCGTGGAGGGCGTCTATCCATTATTAAATTATCGTCGTATTGTTGCGGTGGAGCATTATACGGTATTGCCTGAGGCATGATGTACTCTCCGTGACCCACTGCAATTTGGCGCTGTCGTTCTCGGGTATTGTGGGGTTGTCGGACACGTTTCTTGTGCCGTCCACCTTGCCCGCCTTCGTTCCTAGGCCGATGAGGCTTTTTACCCTTATCGTGCATCATTCGTTCGGTATCTTTCAACATTTCTTGTCGCCACAGTTCGAAGAAATAGTTGGGATCTGTATAGAATTTCAACCCATCCTTACCGTCGTCTCGATAACAATTCAATTTATCTAACGGAGGAGGTCTGTCGCACGATTGATACGTCTCTAACATCGCAGTGGGCATGGTGGACCTCGAAAATATTTGCTGATCGAAAACAACGGCACTTTTGAACGCTTTTCGCATGTGAATATCTTGTAAAGACACTTCCTCCCCCGTACTGTCCAATTGTGTTACTTTTATTGCTAATCTGTCTATCCTAGCTTGTAGAGAATTCGACCTATCGTATAACTGCTGAGCATCACGAGCCAATTCTCCAAAAATGTCCTCGGCATGTCGAGATAACGAAGATAATTGACGTACAGTATTTGCTAACGTTCCGTTGGTCACAGCTTCCAATTCCGAAGGTAGTGGGAAATCATCTGGAAAAGTTCCCCTTGATACGTGCACAGGTTCAATTCCTCGTTTAGGTAGAGGCATCTTATTTAGGTTCTAGTGCAGCACTTGTCCTATCTGCAATTACAGGTTAGTGAAATTATCAATAAAACAAACATGGGGTAGATAAAGAGGAAGCAATGACTAATAAGGAAGTTAAAGGAAATGTGACAATTTATCCTGCAAAAAACCAGGGACTTTCCATTGGAACTTTCACAAATTTTTAGCGAACTTAATTAGAAGCCATTTAAATGGGGGCGAGTAAGTGAAATTTACTGCACTTTTCGCAATTTGGAAATTGTTACTCTATATAAATAAATTATAATGAGGAAATGTCACTAAAAAGGCCAACAACTCTTTAAATATCGGTTAATCATGGAAGGGGTACACACCTTCTTGTTGATGACATCGTAATTAATAAACTGAACGCACTAATTTCACAATTACATCATGCACGTACATCCTTCTTTAATGTTTGCTCGTATTTTCGGCGACAGCTTAATTTATCGGGTAAAATCTGAAAAAATGGTACACCCAAATATGAACCCCATCGACAGTCACTGTTGCCAACGCCGTTGACAAATTCGAGAACGTCATGGTGTTAAACAGTGCTGACAACCATCTTTGTTTTTTGTATGAAATTATCAGCGTCATAATAGGCAACACATCATACATCACGTTCATGTAACGTTTTTTGACACTAACGTTAAATTTAACGTGCAGGTTATATTAAACGTTATATTGCCATATACTAAAGTTACAAAAATATCATTTTCATCTGCATCATCTTTCAAATTAATTACTAGTGGGGTACATGTTCTCGGTCCAACTTTTCTTCTCTGCTCCACAGTGCGTTTCCAGATACTTAGAAGAGGATCACCAAATTAAAAAATGTGTGAAGTAGAAACCACTGTTCGCAGGCTAATGCTAAAACATATTTAATGCATCCGCAACTCTCTGTGAAATAAAACTGTTTACATTATATGAATTTTTATATTACTAAAGTAACCGGCACTCACCTTTCTTAACTGTCACAATGTGCAAAACGAAACCATCAACATTGCTTACGGTTTAAGTAAGCACTCTCCCCTCTTACTGCTGCGGCTGGTAAAAGTTGACCACCATTATCTCTCTCTCGTTCAAAATAACGAATTGAATACGATAAGAAATAACTTGATTACTTTTTCTTGGTAAACGCGATGGCATTTTTGGGTTATACAACTTTATGTGCTGAATATCACAGTATAACATAAACACGTAATTCCAACATTTATAAAAATCTTTTGGAAATATCTGTTTTCCTATTTCTAGCTGAGCAATACACAAAAATGGTTTAGAAAATCCTGTTATGGTGTCGTTGCCACACGTTTTATTACCAAATACTTTTCGCGGCTTAGTACATTTACAAGGCTCTTGCATAAAATAAAATTGAACTTCTACGGTACTGGCAAAAACTTAAATATGACAATTAATTTTTACTTTACCCACGGCTAGCTCAGTAATCAAAGTATTTTTTATGCCCGTTACCTTGCGGAAGTTTGGACTTTTATCTCATCTTAAAACCTGAAATTCAAAATTTCATGCTCTGGTTTGATTAAAATCGAATAAATACGCATATGACTTTAGTTGATAAAGTCCCGGTCCGGTTGGATAATGTCAGTTTAAACTTCAGTTTATAGTTGAATTGTGGGTTAAAGGATTTGATTGGCTAATATTTCACAAGTTGGCCAATCGTAGTTCTCAAATCTGCCAGTTAAACCAAACTGAAGTTTAACCTGACATTGGCCCGTATGAATAAAAGTAAGCAAATGCTTATACTTGCAAAATTCAAAGTAAATACTCGTAACTGCCCCTTCAGACTGGTCTGTTTAGCATGGTTTAGCAGCGCTGCACTGCTTCCTGTCCTTCTGCTGAGAGCGCTGCTAAGTCGCCCAGGGCGAAGGAGCATTTACGAGTATTTACTTTGAATTTTGCAAGTATAAGCATTTGCTTACTTTTATTCATACGGGCCATTGTCCAACCGGGCCTAAATACGAGTATACTAATAAAAACAAAGGTGATGAAGTTATATTTTTGTTTACACATTCTTGGATTGGATTAGATTTCATTAGAAGACATCCACAAAATCTGATGCCCATCTCATGATCTAACTTTGATTCTTATCTAAAATTCCTTTTTACCACATGGTACATTCTCATGTCCAAAATATACACAGCTCTCTGAATACTAAACAGAATTTTAATCCAACTAAAAGAATTGTATCACTGAAATTAAATACAAAATTCTAATCAATCAAGCAAAATAACCAAATTCCTTTGATTTGATTCCTATTTATAAATGTAATATAAATTTATTCATGCCAATAATTTTCATGGGTCAATTCCTTTAGGAATATCAAAATTACATCAAACCAAAATTAATATGGAAATTCTTAGAAATAATCGACCACTACTTTATACAAATCAAAAATTTAAGATAATTTACAGTTATTGACGTGGGTACTATTATCTTTTGGTAACAAATGACCTTATTTCTCCTTGGAAAATTGAATATGGAAATAGATTGCTTCTGTATGTAAAGGTGAGTCCGTGACACAAAACAAAAATGTCTATACCTATCACGAATCCGAGCAAACTGGCTTCAAATTCGAGAAAGTAATACTCGAGATCGTGATTATACTGATTTTACACTGTGTTAATATTATGTTGCCCTATTTATTATTTAATTAACTAGGATTTATTGCGGTTACCGATTAATTGTCTTTAAATTTTTTGCCGAATGCCAAATGTAGCTAATTTTTCACTACTATTTGGATAGGTACGTCCACGATTTGGTTCTGGAATTTTGACCTCAAACAAAATGGTGCGCGCTTGCTTTTCTAAATTTACTGAAAATTCAATTTCCGTGCGCTTAAAATGGTAGGTGGTTAGCGAAATTCAACGTTGAACGAATTTTCAACGATAGAAAAATTCACGCACAAACAGGGTACGTGACCGTTCGCGCAATCCAGCTTAGAAATATCTCTCACTCACTTCTCTTGCTATTTAAATCTCGCCCGTTAGAACCTGTGAAACGGGGCCTATTTTCTGAACGAAATAATTTCGACTGGCGTACCTTTTTTAACGAATTGGAAACCTGCATTTTTGTCACGGATCGAAACTTTTAGGTTCGAAGAGATCGTATCAACCACGCTGGCTTTTCGCAATACGCTTCATGATATCGCTGGTTATCACCAGATATACTATCATTTACGTTCGCTATCAAGCGGTACATGTCTACATTTTCCTATGTTGAACAACTACAAATTCAAAAAATACATTTTTTATAAATTCTAAAGCGATCACCCGTTACAAATCCTGTTGATTTTTTCCTCTTTGAAAAACTTTTCGGAAAAATGAAAAAAATTAAGAAAAATATACTGAAAATGAATATTCTCCTACAATAGCAAGTCGTGTAACGAGTAGTTACAAATGAAAATGCCTGCTCCTACTAAACATGTTGATGTTACTTTCTTGTAAAGAAATTATTGCTGTTGGTTTGTTAAATATAACAGAAAAATTAAACAAATATTTTCAAGGAGAATGAACCTTTTTCTGTATACGCGTAGGGTATACGGACACAACAGAGCGTCGACCATCGCTCAGACCATAGCATCGCACCATAGAGTATACCCTCGACCCTCGCTCCGACACACGCGCACGGGTGGCCACATCAAAGCTCGAAGTACCACACTTTTGTATCAACTTTGCGGTATGCTCTTGCTCAGATTGTGAATTCATTGGCTAAAATGTGGTACCAGTATAACGTTGAAGGATTTACACAGGTCCTTAAATAGATTGATTTATAACAGTTCATTATTATTTATCACTTACTTGTATTCAAAATTTATAACACGAGCGCGAATTTCACTGTTTATCATTTTGGTATCAATGTTGGAACTGATATTAAGCATAGCAAAATTGAGTTATATAGCAAACAAAAAGCTTCAGAATATCATATTTCATGGAAAGAATGCGTCGTATCCACTCTCATTCCTTATCGTCAGTGATTAATCGATTTGATCACGCCTTGATGTTGCTCTAGAAAATTTGCTACACAAGTTTTTCTACCATCAACAACAAACAGCAACATTGAATATTTAATTACTCTTATAGATACACTTGATTAGGTATAAGTATCATATGCGGGAATAGTCTTTAAAAATAGTATGGAAAGCTAGGTATTAGGTACCACATCCGCTTTTTATCGTCGATCCGCCCCTGCTTTTCACTATAAATACACATAGAAACAGGTCGATAGCGCGTCCGGACGCCTTGAAATAAAACGGAATTAAAATTCAAAAGCAAATTTGTTACACAACGAATAATTAACAACACACAGTTGTAGGTGCGTGATTATCATCATATTTGTGGTGACACAGTGTAGTATTGATTACTGCATTTGAAGAACGAAGGTAGGTGTCTAATTTTTCTTTCGCCTCTTTCGAAATTAATTATCTCTAATTAAGATCAAATACAATTTTTCTGCTTGCAAAAATTATTGTTGATGCTAGGTTGTCCAAATCATTAACACCTTGTATAATTTATATATACCGTGATTTATCGAACTTCCGAACTTCTGCAATGAAAAATTAATCATGTTTTCTACACAAAGAAGCGATATACCTGTCCATTTTTACGAATGCATCAACAAAATTTAAATCCAGGACGTCCACCAAGCGCGACCACCCTGTATAACTTGGCGATTTTTTCCTGTTGATTTACGCCGCTCGAAAATATGGATAAAAAATAGTATTTTGCCAAGATATGGCATTGTACTTTGGACCACTGCTGGATACTTTGTACATTGACTTATTAAAATTAAACGCAAACAACAAATATTTATCGTTAAACTGACCTGCCGTTTTTTTCTATACTGGGATTAGTATCTAAAAATGATTTCCATGTTTGTTTGGTTTAACTGGTATGATAGTATTTGGCTGCCGGAATTCGAGATCAAAGATGTAACACGCCTCAATTTTTCGGCCAAAACCCGTATAAAAAATGTTTGTCAATTTAGCAACAAAATTTTGCCCTCGCTACAGTTCCAAATCCTATATGTACCGATATAATGTGTGGGAAAAGTGTAGATTATCTGATTTTGATAATGGTCTTCATAGTCGAAATGAATAGTAACAAAGACGATTTTGCCAAGTGGTACTCTAATTAACAAAAAGCGAGACAAAAATGTTAAGTCTCCCATGAACTATGCGTTGGGAGTGATCGCCCAAATTTCCCAAAAGTAGAATAACACTTTGCATGCCAAAATAACGTTACCCAAAAAAAAGTGATTCTGATTCGGATTTCGAAGTTTCACTAATGACATTATATCTGGAAGTTCTTATAAACAATTGCGGCTTTGTTCGAAAAATGAGGATTTATTACAAGTAGCTTCTTATCCAATAGTGTACGTATATATTTTGGACAAACCGGTAATACGATATCAAAGTTATAGAGATTGCGCAAAAGGAGGTAATTCCCCAGGCTCTTAATTCATCGTCGATGGGGCGCCCCTTGAACTGTTTTATCAACTTTCGGGAAACGCATTACATATACGGATTATACTTCGGTTCTTTAAATAGATCGGCCTTGTTCTATTTTTTGTTTGGAAAAAATCTTCCGCAGAAACCTAAAAAAATGGTTATATTTCGCCACCCACACAACACTGTTCTTACATTGGCGTCCAGTTTCGATTTTTTCGGATTCACCGTTCCAAAGTTTCTTCCTATCTTCATTTCATCAGAAGATACCTTTTTTAAATATCCTATTTACAGAAATCCCATCGTTTCGATTTTCCTCTTCTGAAACTTATTCATGGTAGTTTTTCTTCTAAATTAACCATTTGTCAGCACTTCGTCCAATTGACAGTGATAATTCTTGCGATTCGGTTGTGCCTACCATTATCGTTCCTTTTTCAATACCTTCATATCTATAAGTTACCTTTCTTCCTGAAATTCCTAACTTATTCACAATCCTCGTATCACTGAGTTACGATACACGTCGCTGTATCTGCATTCTTTGTCCGTATCGTCATATAGTCTTATGAAGGGGTACCAATCATCGAGATTTCCGTAGAAATAGGGTAGATATTTCCCATGTAGGTACCATCAGCTAGTACACAGTAATTTGAAATCTTCACCATTTGGCTGTACGGCATTGTTTTCGATTATTTCTCCTAGCACGAGATTTTTAGTTAAACTTTCTTCTTTTCAGCTTCTTCGCCCTTCCACTTCTTTTTTGTTTTTCGGTTCTTCAATTCGTCGATCGGATTTCATATTAAAATCCCCGAAGAAAAATGATAAAATAACTATACATTTTTTTCATCTACAACCACAACAAATGGAATCAAAATCACCGCTTTGGCCAGAAGTAGAAGAGAAGACAATTTACTTAATTATAAGACCATCACTTTCTTTTTGTGGGTACCCTATATTCTGACATTTCATTCCGCTTTTGATTTGACATCACCAATGGATATATTTCTTCCAAACATCTCGATCGCCCTTTGTGAGTACCCTCTTCCGACAATCCGTTCTTGCGAGGTATATAGGGAATATACCCGATCACGATAAGAGGTCGAGGAGGAGGGCTATGGTTGGTAGAAATTAACTCCTTTCGTTGAGACCTTTCATTAGAGTACCATGAAGAATAAAACTAGTTCCACTCCCCCTCCACCCCGTATTTTGATAAGAGGACATAAAGATGAGCAGTAGTTCAAAAACAGCATCTCAGGAAATAATTCGTGGGGGCCCCCCTTTTAGACAGCGAAATTTGATGGCCGTCTGGCACACCTTCAAGGTTTAGGCTACCTACTGCACAAAATTCCAGGACTCTAGAACCAAGAAGGAGTTCGAAACGGCAGAAATAGGACCGGACGGACGGACAAAACGCAAACAATAGCACATTTTTTTTATTCTTAAAAAATGCGCTAAAAAGTGGATAATGGGAAACTTGGCCGAAGCCTTCAAGAACTCAACATCAGTAAGTTCTGCGCCATAAGGTATATAGTTGGGCTTGGGATGGCCAGAATACGTTTTGCCAGGTTTTTGATTGCTAAATTTTGAAAACCGTTAATTTTGGAACTGATTGCCAAAATTGCGCACAAGCATTTTGGTTAGATTTAAATTACAATAATTTTACCTACGATAAAAAATCTCGGCCCGTATATTTTACTCAGATGTACCCGAAGCCGTTAAATTGCTTAAAGCTTAAACAATCGCGGTTTTGATAGAAAAATAACGATTTCCACAACCCGCATCTTATCGAATAGATTTTAGAAAAACAAGTAATATGAGGTCAAAGTTGTAGTGACTACGCAATGACGTAATTCCTTAATTGATCCTGGAACGATGCTCCCTGAGTGGGTTTTATCAACTTTTGGGAAAGTAATTATTAGGATTATATTCATTACTCTTATTCTTCGAACAGATCAGATTTGTTGTTTTTACTTACAATTTAAGAAAACGCCATTGCCCCCCCCCCCCCACCAAATTCTTCAGGGTATTCTTCTTTTAGATTCTTCAGGTTGCTGTGATCTTAAATCGTCTCGTTCTTCAAATTCCTTACATTCATAACATGCCTAAAATTCGCTTCGAATTCCTTGGTTTCTTTGAATTATTCACCGTTTTTGGTTCCTTCGCAGCTTTCACATTTTTCCTATTGATCTGTTTTTCAAAATTTATTCTGATTCACCATATTCTTCAGGTCCATCGAATTTTTATCTTTTTAAAATTACCTACTCGAAATCTTCAGTTTCTTCGAATACTTTGCACCTTTCAAAATTTTCTTCTAAATCTTCACATTTTCTTTAAATCAATTGCTCATTCTTCAGTTTTTTTTAAATTTTGATGAATTTTGTAAATTATTGAGCTTCTTCAGATCCTTTGAATATCTTCTGAACGTTTATAGTTGCTCCTGGTTCTTTAGATTCTTTTGTTTCTTCGGTTCTTTCACGTTATTTCGGTTCTTCGAAGAATTCCTCAATTTCTGCAGCCTCCTCGGATTCTCAAACATTGTTCCCTTCTTTGGATGTTTCCAATTCTTCATTTTTAGATCGGATTCTTTAATTTTTTCAACTTTTTTTCTTCTTTGGTCCCTTCTCCTGTTTTTTTTTCAGATTGTTTCGTTTCCATACTCTTCGGATCTTTACTCTCATTCTTTAATTTTAAATTCTTTAGCTTCTTAGGCGTTTGCCGGATCTTTTACATTCTGCCTATTCATTTATTTTTGTTTTGATGTTTCAGATCTTTCAACTTGTTCAGATCTTTTAGTTGATGTTCCTCTGATTCTTCAATTTATTCAAATGTTTTCATATCCTCAGATTCTTAGAAATATTCCCAATTCTTCCTATCCATAAGATTCATAAAAGCCTTCAAATTCCCCTTTTTGATTCTTCAAATGTTAAAGGCTAATGATCTCATAGTTTCTTCAAACCTTTTCAATACCTTTCTGAACCTTTAGTTTCTTCTGATTCTTCATCGGTCTTTTCAGATTCATTCAATCTTTTTGGATGAGTTTTTTGGATTTTCGAGGTTCATTAGGTATTCGATTCGCAACATTCTTGAGATTCTCGACTTTCTTCAAATTCTCCAGATTTGGCGGACTCTCAGGATTGTTTTTTTTTCATTCGAATTTTCCAGATGCTTCAAATTCTTCAGACCCCTCAAGTTTTGGGGGTTCTTGTAGACCTTCTTAGAATTCTTCAATTTTTTTAAACTTCTTTAATTTCTTTAGATTTTTCGCTTCATTTGCATGAAACTTCTTGTATTACAGCGACTAACCAATAACATTATTTGAGGAAACGGAAATGGTTGTTAACTCGCCTTAGAGGTTACTAGTTCAGATTTAAGTCTTCGGAATTGTCCGATTCGCCAGTTCCTTCAAATTTTTCAAAATGTTGCATTTGTTCGTATTTTTTTGATTTTTAGTGTCAAATTCATCGGTTTTTTAGTTTTTTCAAGTCTTCTACTGCTTTGTTATTGTCGGATCTTTCACATATCCATATAACTCTTAAAAGTAGAGAAGAAAACCAGAAAATTCCGATTATTTGCACAGAATTTGCCAGAAAAACCGAAATTTGGCGGATTTGGTTTTTAGTGCACTTTTTAAGAATTAAAAAAAATGTGCCATTGTTTGCGTTTTGTCCGTCCTTCCGGACCCACTTCTGCAGTTTTGGACTACTTTTAGGGGAATGGTCATAGACCCCTGGAATATTTTGTAATATGTAGCCTATACCTTGAAGGTGCGCCCGACGGCCATCAAATTTCGCTGTCTCAATGCCCTCCCCCCCCTGAATTATTTCCTGAGATGCTGTTTTTGAATGTGTATAACTTTACATGCCACAATCAACTGCTCTCAGAGTTTGCATACGCTACGCATGCCTTTAATGGTGGCAAGTAATATTTTTGAAAATGGGGTGGGGGGTGACCAGACGTTCTCGCCCATATCTCACCCAAATGCATTGGTTTGGACAAACTATAACTTTCCTGCGCGACTGCTTTTTTTAAATTCTTATTTTATTTATTTATTATCCCTCTCTTGTTCTGGGCCCTCAACAGGCTTGCGCCCAATTACAGAGTGACCCGCATAATGCTTTTTAGAGGTGCTTCTGCAGAAAGTCTTAAGTTGTTCTAGCCGGCAGAATGCTCGAAACTGGTCTAAGGTAATTTCCATCTCTGTCACAGATGAAAAATTCACCTCAACCCAAGTTCGAACACCCGACCTCCGGATTTATAGCCCAACGCTCTACCATTGAGCCATAAAGCTTTCCGAGAACAGTAGTTGGCCTGGGAGTAGAGGAAGGGGGTAGAAATTAATCGTATCATTCATGGTACCTATTCCAATTAAAGGTCTCAAAAAAGGAACTGTTTTCTACCAACTACTCCTACTTTCTAACTCCTTATCAAAAGAGGCGAATTGGGGAGTGGGGGGGGGGCTAGTATTATCCTCCATGGTACTCGAATGAAAGGTCTTATTGAAAGGAATTAATTTCGACCAACCATAGCCTCCTTCTCGACTTCTCATCGTGATCGGACATAAATAATTCCGGCGGGAGGAAAATTTCAGGAGCAAGGGAAAATATTCCTACAGTTAATTATACATACCTATAGATACCTACATAGGAAAAGTGTCACACATTGGAATAATCAAGCTATCGTTGCAAAACGCCACAAAATTTATAAACCGTCATTAGTATTTCCAGTGAAGTTTATACCTACAAAAGGTGAGATACTTACGTGCATACAGAGATCAAAATAGGGGAGAAGAACCCAATTTCATACTGCATCTCAAGAAAGGTACTTACTACTGCGATTTACCTTTATTCGACATGGAGGTGTTCTGGTAACTGAAAGTATCTTCATTGTGTTCTCTCTTGATGATGTTTTAGGTAAACGTGGGGGATACATAGCGGGGTGCTTCTTCCATCTGATTCCTCCAAAAAAATAGTGCAATTTAATGCATAGTTGCACCAAATTTATTGAAAAAACAATACATTTTAAGTAACCAAAAAAAACAGATTCGTGCATTTTTGGAATATTTTGTAATCGTAGTTCAGTGACGTATTATTGAATGAAATTTGTAATCACACTCTACGTCACCGGATTTTTTGAAGTGTTTTGCTGCACAAAGTCACGTTTCATTCACACTATCAGAACACGCTCTCAATTAGGCTGAAGCAAAAATCGAATTAAATCACCACAATTTGCACGTCCATTATTTCAAAATTGCTAACCAAATTTGCCGAAACGGATTTTAAAGATAACGCCACAATGCGCTAAACCAACTAGAAAGAGGTATCACAGAGTTGTAAGCGTCACACGCACGGTGTCGTTCTAGTGTGGAACTTCCTTTCTTACTTTGCCAATTTGCATTTACCTCCCCCTACACTGGTGAATTTTTTGAATTTCGATAATTTGTATCTTTACACATCATCGCTTATAATGTGTAACAAAAAAGTGTGATTCTTGTTTAGACGTTTGAAACAAGTTTCGTTTTCGGAATATCGTCGCAGCTTGTGCTTCACCTGTGGAAAATCTACTACAACAAAATGGAGGGAGATCGCCATGAAGACGTCGGCAATCAAAACGGTAGGTACCCAAACTTGTTTTTAACTTGTCGTTTCTTCGAAAGTGACGTGCGATTTTCTCGATAGAAGCGACTATTTCCAAAACGTGACAAACACACTAATTTTTATCTCTCAAACTCACTCAAAAACAGAATCCGAAAAGTCTCCTTATCGAGGAAAAATTGCATTTGACGAAATAAATAGTTGGAATGTTTGTTAAAGTTATGGTTCGTTGGAAAGTCCACGAGTTATCAGTGACCTGTCGATAAACACTCCGTGCAATTTAGTAAATTTGTTTTTTTTTTCATTTTTTAAATCATTTTTATGATAACAACAACAATTCGATGACTGTTTTGTCTACAAACATTTCGTTTAACCGGGCTAATTACATGTTGCGATGTGCAAGATAAAGGATATAAACATGAACTTTGAAAAGATGGATCCCCCTGACGATGGGTTTTGCTTTTGCTCCCCCAGAGCTATCGGTTAATGTGTTTATTTATTCTCGATATCGGCGTGGGTATTTTGAGAATTAATCAATTTGGGAATTTAAAAGATGAAAATAACGCCTGCGCAATTAAAATGATAGAACAGAAGCCAATAGCGAGAAAGGGTTTTCCCATTAACATTACCCTTCCTAGCGATGGCGTTGTATAAAAGATGATGCCTTAACTTCAGCCCATCAAAAATTCTAGAGCATCTCCAATCTGTACCTACTCAAAAATCTTTCGCAACATGTAAGTTTTTTCAAATGCATAATCGTCTAGAATTAATCATTCTTTCATATCGTGAATGATAAGTTAGTATAAAATAGTACTTCAACTATATTTTCCTTGCAGATAAACCGAAAAAGATGTCGAAAATTGGAATCAATGGTTTTGGACGAATTGGACGTTTGGTGCTACGTGCCGCAATGCAAAAAGGCGCACAGGTGCTGGCCATAAACGACCCGTTTGTGGATCTCAATTACATGGTTTATCTTTTCAAACACGACTCCACCCATGGACGTTATAAAGGAGACGTTACCACAGAGGACGGTTGCCTTGTCGTCAACGGCAACAAGATTATTCTATTCCAAGAGCGCGATCCAAAAGTAATTGCCTACCTTCATTCTTCAGTTCGCTCACTCACAAATGAATTTTAGGCTATACCATGGGCTTCAGTTGGAGTTGAATATGTCATCGAAGCCACCGGAGCATTTACCACAGTGGAGAAGGCTTCCGCGCATTTGGAAGGTGGCGCCAAAAAGGTAATCATTTCGGCATACTCACCAGACGCTCCCACTTACGTCGTCGGCGTCAACCTTGATATGTACGACCCTCGCCATAAGGTAATATATCAACTCATCAACATTGGTTGCATCAATAATCATATTATCTTTAGGTAATCTCAAACTCATCCTGCACAACAAACTGTCTAGCACCACTCGCAAAGGTCATCCACGATAATTTCGAAATAATCGAAGGTTTGACCACAACAATCCATGGCGTTACGAGTTGCCAAAAAACGGTCGACGCCGCCTGCAGTAAATGGCGTTACGGCCGCGGATCATTGCAAAACATCATCCCAGCGGCGACGGTTGCGGCAACGGCGGTCGGCAAGGTAATTCCGTCACTCACCGGAAAGCTGCACGGCCTCGCCTTCCGAATTCCCACACCAAACGTCGCGATTGTCGACCTAAACGTACGATTAAGGAAGGAGACCACATACGAAGAAATCAAAGCCAAAGTCAAGGAAGCGTCCGAGGGCCCACTTAGAGGCATCCTAGGCTACACCGAGGAGGAATTAGTTTCGTCGGACTTTAACGGCGACACACATTCGGCAGTTTTCGACGCGGAAGCCGGAATACACCTATCAGATAACTTTGTCAAATTGGTCGCGTGGTACGATAACGAAATTGGTTATTCACATCGCGTTATTGATTTAATCACGCACATTCAGACAAAAGACGAGGAGTACGCTAACGGATCATTTTATCAGTCCTGTGAGGTTTAAGTAATTTATTTTAGTATTTATCATTTACGTACGTTGTTTGTTTTATATTTATTAGTCGATAATGTGTATGAATGCTCCCTTTTTGTTCGCTGTAGGTGTATATGATATTGCAATTACATTCTGAGATTAATTTCAATTTTAATAAAAATTTCACGAAGAATTGAGTACTTAACTCTGTCAAAAACAATATTCACGTGGCTGGCGCAACTTCTGCTAAAGGATGATGGAAAACAAACCGATTGATTTGGTAGAGATCTGAGGTATTGTCAGTTTTTCTTCACTTGGTTTAGTCCAAAGGTTTCTTCATAGCAAGGATACAGAGGATACAAAACGATTTTGCTGCGTATTGTTTACCATTTATGTTATTGAACTTGTTTTTGACATGGATGAGAAACTGTGAAATGGTGCGCGAAAAGTTTTGGAGCTGAGTATTCCACTACAATCCAAAGTCTGGTGCATTGAAACTTTGGCGAAAGGCAATTGTTTAAAAGATAACCAGTATGATACTTAATAATGTAATTGACATTAATGATTTTTTGCTTGTTTATTTTGAAACCTTCCTTTTCATAAAGAAATCAAAAATTTCTTGTATCTATGACCTACAGATAAGATTTTTCGTCATTGATCTCTACTTATTTGAGGTGTAAATTTTTTTATTATTATCAAAGTATATGAAGATATATAAATAGCAACAATTTTGCTATTTTGGAACGATGATGAACTATATATTTTAGCGAATTAAGCGATATATAGCAGTATAATCAGTATAGCTACGTTGTAATAAATATTTATTTATCAAGTGATGTGTCATAAGGTTCTTTATCCAGAAGAGATAATTAGTTACTTGACATTCTACGAGGAGGTTCCCGGTGACACTTTTGGCAAATGTGGATGATCTTATGACCCTTGATGGTGGTTGGAAATCTTCTGCAATGGCAGATAGAGCTGATGTTGTTGAAAGATTAATGTTAGAACATTAATAAAACGTCTTGAGCTTCAAAATAATAGAAAAATAAAGAAGTTCATAAATGTCATTCAATATTCATCATATAGGTATTTTTTTAACATCTACACACTTTATAATTTATAAAATATTTTATGATCGTACTTCAACACCTCCCCTCGATTAAAAATATTTATAAATTCATATAAATACTACATCAAAACTTACTTCTAAGTTCAAAATAGGAAATACACAGTTTTAAATAGAAAATACAAATTACCTCCCCTTATTTCATATTTAAAAAAATCTTGATTCTTAGAGTAGACCTATAGCCTTAGCAAACATTTCTGTTTTGGGCCCCGACAGGGATTTCGTGAAGAGGTCAGCAAGGTTTTCTGATGAAGGTATATATTCTACTTTGATCATTCTGTTATTAATACATTCTCTCACAAAATTGTATTTAACAACAAAATGCTTACTTCTCTCTCTCTGCAATCGAACCTTGATTATCACAATAAACAATTTCTCTTCCATAAATTAAATCTTCTTCACTTAATTCACGTAACAAAGTTTGTAGCCACAGAAATTCACACATTGACTCATAAAGGGCGATATATACTCTGCATGAGTTGATGAACTGGCTACGCATTTCTGTTTTCGGCTTTTCCAAATAACTGCTCCATTCCCAAAATTAAAAACATAACCAGTTATTGATTTTGCGTCATTTTTATCACTAGCCCAGTCTGAATCACTATAACATGAGAAAACGCCATTTTTCTTATAAGTTAATCTATAACCTATTGTTTTCTTTAAATACTTTAACACATTTTGAACACCTCTCCAATTTCTTACAGTGGGTCTCTGGTTGCATTGACTCAATTTACATACAGCATTTGCAATGTCAGGCCGAGTACAAGTGCTAATATAAAGAAGAGAACCTATCGCCTTTTGATACAATTCACGGTCAAAAATTTCTCCTTCGCCTTTCACTTCAAAATGCGCTCCTACTTGAAGTGGACAAGAAGTGCCTTTAGATTCTGACATATTGTACTCATTTAATATGGATTTTATGTACTGACTCTGATTTATGGTTATAACATTCTTACTAGGTCGATCAAACTGTATTGATATAAATGATCTTACGGGACCTAAATCTTTAAGTTTGATAATTTTTCCAATAATTTCTTTAAATTTTAAAACTTCTTCTTCAATTCCCGAAACCAAAAAATCGTCAACATAAACGGCCACTATAATGTCTTTCTTAAAAAATATGCAAGGTTCACTGATACATTTGGCAAAATCTAAACTTAACATAATGGATGTTACGTGATTATACCAGTTTCTACCTGATTGCTTAAGGCCGTACAGACTTTTTTTAAGTTTACAAACGAATGTACCTTTATCGAGTTCTAATCCATCAGGTACTTCCATCAATACTTCCTCATCCAAACTGCTATTGAGGTACGCTCCGACTACATATCTACATGATCCAACCTCCATCCATGATGTACAGCTAGATACGTCAGAAGTCTGATTGATTTCTGCTCCACTACAGGACTCATAGTTTCGAAATAGTTTACTCCGTGAGTTTGACGAAAACCTTGTGCAACAAGTCGGGCTTTATACTTACTTAATGTTTCCATCTCCGTTTTTGATTGTGAACACCCACTTGCAGGCTATTACCCTTGCACCTGGTTGTCGTTTTATAATTTTCCAGGTTTCTTGCAAATTTAAATTCCGAAATTCGTTATTATAATGGCATCCTCCCATGCAAGTGCGTTTGAGCCATTCACAGCTTCCTCATAACTGGACGGAATCTTCTCTTCATAATCGTAGAGCAAACATACAACATGGCAATTTACATCATTTTCTTGTTACTGGTGCTCTACTAGATTTTCTTAATTGTACAGGTCCTTATCGTCAGTATTATCGATTTCAGTTTGCTCTTCTCCTTGGTTATGAATCATTTCTGCTATTACAGCTTTTTGATTTTGAATTTCCAGCTCTCCATCTAACACGTCTTGATTTTGAGCAACCATCTCTCCTTCGGGTACAATTTCAATAGAATAATTTTTATCTGTAGAGATTTCAGAAAACAATCCTTCGTTTTTGTTTAACTCGCTTAGGAAATTGCAGTCAAAATTGTTAATCTTAAATGTCTGAGTTTGGTTTCGACATTCACTTGGTACTTTCAATACAGGTTGTTTAAATGGAAAAATCTCTTCCTGAAAAATTACATCTCTCCTGATGATTACCTTTCTTCGCTTCAAACTCCATAATCGATAACCGTCCTTCGTATTTTCGCCGAATCCAATAAGCACACATGTTTCAGCTTTTGATTCAAATTTCGTTGATTTAGATTTCTTTGCCCATGCTTGGCAACCAAAAATCTTAATTAAATTTGCTGTATCTAACTTTAATTTCTTACTGTGCCAGATTTCGTAAGGTCAATTGCAGATGAGGGGCACCGATTTCTGATAAAAACTGATGTCATAATTGCTTCTGCCCAAAAATTCATGAGTACACCGGATTCTAACATCATATGCATCTTGCCATTTCTACCAGAACGCGCGGTTCTGCCGTTCTGCCAGACCATTTTGCTGCGGACAACCTGGTGCACTTCTCCTATCTTTTATTCCGCATTTTCATGCAAGTACTTCTCGGAAACATTTGATATGTACTCGCCACCATTGTCACTTTGCATGGTCAGTAACTTTTTCTGTTGATTTTCCGCTTCCTAATGAAATCTAACAAATTCAAGAAACGCCTCATCCTTCGTCTTCAAACATTTGGCAACGATATAATGAGAGTAATCGTCAATAAGAGTCATAATAAATAATGATCCGCCAATATAGATGGTGGTGAAATTTTACCTATTAGGCGACTGAATTTTCCTTGAATGCAAACTTCACATTTCTCATCATCTTTATTTGGTTCTTCTTTTAAATTTTTGAGAAAAGGAATTCTCAACAAATCCCTTTTATTCACATGTCCAAATCTTCGATGCCATAGCTGCATGTTGTTGACTGCTCTACATGCTAATCCATTCTTCTGTTCAATGTTAAAATTTTTATTTCTTATATCCGCAGTATTTACAACGTATACCCGAACCTTCTTTACTCTAAAGATCAGCTCATCATTATCCAAAACTACTCCTCTTTCACCAGTGAACATGACGTCCAAACCTTTATCTGTCAACCTTGAAACAGACATCAAAGCACATTCAAGATCTGGAACGAAAAGTGTCTCAGACAACGTGATCCTGAATCCTCCGTCTTCTTCAGGTGTACGAATCATGACGATGCCTTTGCCTTCTATCTGAGCTTCATCCCCATTTCCCATCTTGATGATGCCACAGTAATCTTCATCCAGTTCGACAAATTCTTCTTTCAATGGTGTCATGTGATCTGATGAACAAGAGTCTAAATACCAACATTTCCGCTTCATATTGCCTTTAACTCCTACTGAACAATACGCTTTGGCTTTGTGGACTGAATCGACAATTTCACTTATAGCACTACTTGCCATACCTTCCTTCTTGTGTCGTTGTTGTCTCAAGAACTCCTTCAACTCTAGACAGTCACAAGATTTGTGTCCTAAATTTCCACAGGTGTAGCACTTGTAGACTCTATCTTCATTTCTACTTTCTCCTTTAACTCGTTGAGTACTGTTTCCATGATAGACTCGATTATCATTTCTATTTTCTCCTTTAGCTCGGTGAGTATTGTTTCCATAGTTTTTCGATTTCATACTTTGGTTTGCTTTTGAGTTCTGCACTGCTTTCATAGCTTTGACTTCGTCTGTTTTTGTCGACAGTCCGTCTAATCTGATTTGACGTTTCTCTTCCACCAACAATTTACTTATGATGTCATCACGACTTAAACTTTCTTGATGTTCCAGTGTTCTAATGAAGATTTCATATTTGTCCCTTGGAAGACCCCTCAGAATAAACAATGAGAGAGCATGTTCATCAAAAGTTATACCGCAACGTAATATTTTTCGGTTGAGATCAAGAATTTTTGAAATGTACTCGGTCATTGAAGTATCTCTTTTCTTTATGGTAGTTAAATCTTCCAGAAATTCAAGTTGATGCATCACACTAAAATCTTGGTGTAAACTAGACAGGGTTGTCCACGCTTTTTCTGCCGTTTTATGTCCTCCTATATAGTCAATATATTTATCACTTACCGAAAGTAAAATAAGTGACAACGCTCTGGAGTTCTTCTTCTTCTCCCCTGCGTTGAAGCCTTCTATCAAATCTTCACCGCCAAAACCAGGATCAACTGCATCCCAGCATTCTCGCTGCTCCATGATCGCCCTGGCCTTAATATGCCATGCGAAATAGTTGTCGTCTGTGAGTTTGAGTCCTCGATCAAGACCATCATTGTAATTGTTCATCGTCATTATTACTCCTTCTAAATGTGATGAGACAGCTACACTCCTCCTTGATGTCTGGATACGTAAACTCTGCTAACTACCGATCGAAAAAATGTACCTGCACGACGTCTTTAATCCAGTTACAGTAACACACACGTGATTCTATGTAACACTTTTCCGGATTTAATTTTTGAAACACTAACGCGTAAGTCTCATAATCTGTTGAAAGATTAATGTTAGAACATTAATAAAACGTCTTGAGCTTCAAAATAATAGAAAAATAAAGAAGTTCATAAATGTCATTCAATATTCATCATATATTTTTTTAACATCTACACACTTTATAATTTATAATAGTTATTTATATAACAAGAGCGCGAAGTTCAATTTCGCGCATTGAGACTGAAGGTATTTAGACGAGGCGAAGCCGAGTCAAAATATCAGTCAAATGCGCGAAATAACTTCGCGCTAGAGTTATATACAATATTTTTTCTACAACTGAACCGATTGTTAATTAAATTTGCTGTTTAAGTTCAACTTTGCCACGTGCGCGAAATACTTTTTTTCACTGTTGACGATTTCGCGCACGTTGTCAATAGCAACCTTACTTATTAATTAACCGTTTAAAAATCTAGTACTTCGCGTTTCGAAATCCGTCAGAAAATGACAGGTTTTTTTGACAGTTGTAGAAAAAATATTTTTTCTACAACTGTCAAAAAAAACTGTCATTTTCTGACGGATTTCGAAACGCGAAGTACTAGATTTTTAATCGGTTAATTAATAAGTAAGGTTGCTCTTGACAACGTGCGCGAAATCGTCAACAGTGAAAAAAAGTATTTCGCGCACGGGACAAAGTTGAACTTAAACAGCAATTTAATTAACAATTGGTTCAGTTGTAGAAAAAATATTGTATATAACGCTAGCGCGAAGTTATTTCGCGCATTTGACTGATATTTTAACTCGGCTTCGCCTCGTCAAAATACCTTCAGTCTCAATGCGCGAAATTGAACTTCGCGCTCTTGTTATATAAATAACTATTATGATCGTACTTCAACAGATGTGTGGAAGACTCCGATTCCAACCAATTAGATATTGTAAATAAAGTCCAAGACATCCGAAACAATTGTAATAGCTATTTCTGCTCCTTAAGAGGTCACATCCAGATTACCAACAAGTACAATTATAATGGAAAACCGAACATGAACGGCAACACCGAGCCCTCACAAAAAAACTGTACAATTACTGTTAACGTTAACTTGAATAAATAATGTAATGTAAATTTAACTACGTGGTTTTATTTATTACAACTAATTAACAATAAATTTATAACCGTCTGAAAATGGATTAATTTATAACAGTAATTCTTATGTATCACTTACAATTTATAACGTAACACAAGCGCGTCGAAGTTGGAACTGCCCTGAAACGCAATACGATTTGTTTATATAATAAACCCGAGAGTTCGCGAGTCTGCTCGAATGATCTAGAACAAAGCACGTCATATTTCCGGGAAAGATTACGTCACATCCGCTTTCCTTCTTTATCGCCGAAGACTAATCTTTCATGGCGCCTTGATGTCTATCGAGATTTCTGGAACGTTTGCTACACTACTCCCTCCTTTTAAAACTGTTGCATCTCGCAACACGAGCGACGATTGTATCGAAGACACAGTCCCAGACAACTCTTGTTCTATAACACGAACTTGATGGCGGTACTTTGCATCTTGTATTCTTGAAGAAAAAACATCTACCATCTTACGAATCGGTTGCGGCGGTACCTCTACCTCTAGGGTTAAAGTAACAGACCAATATTTCAACCCCGGAGCCCTGGAATACCACCTAGAGCATATTGCGCACGTTGCGCCAATCCAATTTATCTAGATCACATCCGATCTTTGGAATTGCCCGCTGTGTAACGCCATGGATTTGTATTGAATGCCCGTTTTTACGTATTTTGAAGACGTCTTCTTAGTGTGTTAGACAAGTTGCCCAAAATTTTGTAAGAGCGTGCTTGCGAGATTTTGCAGAGGTCAAATTCGAAAGCAAACATTAGCCTCCACTCTGTATATATCGAACTAATATAGTCCACAGGGGCGCCACCGTGGCGCCACTGGCCACCCGCCATCAAATTTTAAAATGGATCTCTGTAGTTAACCACAAAAATTAGAAATAAACGCTTAATTATTATTGAATGTGATATAACATGGACGCGCCATCATTAAAAAACCTCACGGATTTCAAGTATAGCGTACCCGCAAAGGAGCAGAGCTTTGTAAGATTAACATGTGTTAGATTGAGGTTATGAAATTGTTATTACCGTAGATTCTGCAACAACTGGGGGCACCCCACGTTTCCAGCTTTAATTATATGGTAAATAAGGGTTTGAACGATGCAGTTTCCAGTCTACACCCTGTCGAATTCACTCTACCGTCCGGGGAAAGACTTTCCCTACGGATTGAGGATGTATCCCTAAACTACCCCGCAGTGCCTTTGGGAGTTGTTGGCGTGAGAACTCAGCAGATTTTTCCGACAGAATGTAGACAACGTAACGCTACTTACTGTGGGAAGTTGAACGGTAAAGTCAGTTGGTCGATTAATAACGGGCCACGTAGTTACATAGATCAAGACTTTGGTAACATACCGATTATGATTAAGGTTAGTACAATCTGAAGAGTATCCACTTCTGAACCCGATTCTTTACGACAGTCGAATCGATGTAACTTGAATGAGATGACGCCCAAACAGTTGGTGACGCACAAAGAGCACGAACAGGAATGGGGCGGTTACTTCATCATCAGAGGGCACGAGAAATTAATCCGCATGCTGCTTATGACGAGGCGTAATTATCCTATCGCGATTAAACGAGGTGGTTGGAAAGGAAGGGGCGATCTTTTTTCGGATGTTGGCATACAAATCCGTTGCGTGAATGACAGTCAAACTTGCGTGGTAAGTGTGGCGCGGGGGGGGGGGTTATGAGGCATGTTAAAAGTTATGTACATCTTCCGATTTTGTTTTGTGACCTTTTGGTTGCTAACTGAGCATGACAGGTACGAGGTGCCAATAACAAAAGTTTAGTGCTTCAGTTGTTTTTCACAAAAATTGCTTTTTTTCACTACTAGCGTCTGATGACATGATTATTAACCTTTTTTCCACTTGTAAAGTAGGCTTTCTCGGCATTTGTTCAAAGTGGTTAATAATTTTTTATTATTAACTAGTAGTCAATAATGAGAACTGTCACGCTATCACTTTTAGAAAACACAAGCCGAAATTTCGCTCAATGAACGTTTAGACAAGTTCTCTAAAACGAATAATTGCCACCATCCGCCATTTCCAGAGAAATTACATACCTAAAATTATTACATTTTGAAAAAATTCGAACGAAATTACTCTTTGAAAAATCTCAATGACAGAACAAAATACGGCCTGTTTGACTTGTAGTTCTACGTACTTGATTGACATGTTAAATTAAGAAACAAACAATTCTGTCCAACCGTTCACTTTCTTATCAATATAATATGTTAATTTAGAGGACTTCAAGTGCTAGTAGTGAAAAAAATAGTATATATACCACGGTAGAGAAGTCTATTATTGCCTTCGCACCTTACACCCCTGGCGCAAGCGCCTCGAGATGTAATCTTGGTGCTCAGGCAATAATAGTGGACTTCTCTACCTTGATATATAATGTACTATTATTTGGGTTGGGCTAAGAATATGCCCCCCCCCCTCCATTAAAAAGGGCCCTGGGAGAGTAATTAATGTGCAGTATATGCAACATGAGTATTAATAAGCTACTGTCCTTGTTGGGATAGTAAAGAATGCCACTTACCAATATCTATATATACAGTGCGTTCGAGATAAGAGGGTCAATCTCAATATCCATTGTATTTGGTGAGATACACAAAATTGTTCATTGCTTATGCTGCAAGATTTACCTATTCTGAGATCATTAGTGCACTTTCACTTTCAAAAAATAAAAAGTGCACATTTTTGCTTATGATGTCTGTCTGTCTGTATGAGTCACAAAACTACACCACTTACAGATTTGGTATTGGTGTCATTTGATCAGAAATTAAAAATAGAGTTAAAAATTATTTCATGTTTGTTTTCTCCTTAGGGCATGACATGTCCATAAGGGCTATTAAAATCGAAAAAAAAAAAATTTGAAAATGCACCCTTCACCTCTTGCTCACAAGCGCCTTAACGAATTTTTTTTGGGGTATTCATTTTATTTAAAACTAATGTACTGCATGTAGAGGGTAAATGAGAATATTTCCCCTGAGCTGTAGAAGTAAGTAAGTTTCTTGAATGGGTTTTCTCAGACCTAATCCTTCTGTTCGAAAATGTCGCCTAACCGAAAGAAAGCATGTATTCTTCGTACCTCGCTTTGTACTGTGTGAGGCCTTAGTGTGAATGTCAGTCCCGTTACATAACAGCAGTAATACACATATTCATTTCCGTGAAAGATTGTGGTACAACATTTTAAATATCGATGTAAAATTATGATTATGAGGGAAATGAAATTCCCGAGGGATATACAATTTTCTGATGTTGTCATACCGGTTGAGAACTATTATAATGTAAAATTGGAAAAGAAAAGAGAAAACTAAGTGACTACATATCCTGGAAGGTTTTCAATGTCCTTTTTCCCATGTAATCGATGAAGTCCCTAGAGCTATTCTTATGTGATTAAAAGAGGCCAACCCGGAATTGAATTGAAATTGAATTGTTTTTGTAATTAACGTATTTAATTAAATTTCAACTTTATTATTAGTTTTAGTATTTTAGTATGACTGAGTTTGAGTTTTAGGTTCCCTCTAGCTCCTTCAAACCGTGTTGCTTTTCGACAATCAGGGCAACATTGGGGTGGTTCTGTCCCCGTTTAAAGTCCAGTACTTTTTTGTATCTATGGAAGTGGCGTGTCTAGGTACAGCTTTTGTTTTGCAACATAAAGGTTCTTTCCAAGACGCTATATACCATTTTAGAAGGACTTTGAGCATAAATGGCTATCCAAAATATCCAAAACGATCGACTCCTGTTTTTATACAATGCAAACATTTCAAATAACACATTTATCGATGAGTCGGAACTCCAAATTACAGTTGACTTTCTCATTTTGAAAGGTAGCAACAACTCAGCTAATTGGATGGATTGGATGACTACTCGTTAAAAGTAAAAGTGAATTTGGAAAGGTTTTTACATTTAGTAGTTGAAATTTAGTTTACTCGCTCCAATAATTCACCAATTATATAAATGTCAATTTTCCCCTTGTATACTTAGGATTTTTACAGCCAGCAAAAGCCCTAATTAATCATCTTTAAACTTTTTACCGGCTGACGTTTAATCCAGAATCTTATTATCATCCCGTATAACCTAGAGAGATGCACAACGTTCTGTACTTTTGACCACAACGTTTTCGTGGTAGAAATGTATTTAAACGCGATTATGCTGATTCATTAATACAACAAAACGAAAATGTGCCAATGCTATGCAACATCCTTTGAGGTGAACAACTAGCCTGAATGGACAATGTGGTCAGTAACCTTGTAGTAACGTTCATCACTATAAATGACCACCTAACAGTGGTTGGTCATAAGTATATTGCACATTCATTATTTCCCTATTTATTTTTATTCTTGGCCTAGTAACAAATGAAAAAAATAGGAAGTGGTGGTGCGGAGGTAGGCTAACTAGTGGACATTAAAAAGTTGCCCTTTGCAGCCCAACACTTTACACTTTGTTACCGATGGGACAGTTAAGTTTATGTTCGCCCACTTAAAATTGGTATATTACGTTCCGGTTATGATGATATTGAAGGCGACGTGCGACTATACTGACCAATACATTTATAAGAGACTAACGGAGGGGTTCGAAGACGATTCTTACTACAGCGAGTAAGTAATAGGTTGATTGCGATTTAATTTTGGCGCACTTTGTTTATTAGTTGTATTCAGAATATGATGAGAAATTTACATGCGGAAGGTTTACATTCGCACGCGGATTGCAAGGGCTACCTAGGCAAAATGTTTCGTGTCAAATTTACGGAATGTGCCGAATGGTTTACGGATGTCGAAATTACTGATTACGTTTTAAAGAGTTGTGTGCTGATCCATTTGAATAGTCCCGAAGATAAATTCAACTTGCTCGTGTTTATGATACAAAAACTGTTCGTCTACGCTCAGGATAATTGCAAAACTGAAGGAGCTGATGCGGTTATGATGCAAGAGCTACTTCTCGGAGGTCATTTGTACCTGCAGGTTTTAAAGGAGAGATTGCAAATGTGGCTGATTTACCTGCGTGCGAGTATATTGAAAAATGCGAAAAGCGGTGCAGGATTTGCTTGCGGAGAAAAGGATATGGCACGAGCCTTGAAATATACGGGTGGCGTTGAGACTGTTATGCAAAAATTCTTAGCGACTGGTAACATCAACAGCCCATCCGGTTTGGGGCTAATGCAGGACTCGGGATTGGCGATTATTGCAGAAAACATCAATCGGATGCGTTACATGTCGCATTTTCGTGCCGTACACAGGGGTGCCTTCTTTCAAGAGATGCGCACGACGGAAGCGCGTCAGTTATTGCCGGACGCGTGGGGTTTCATTTGTCCTGTGCATACACCTGACGGTGCACCTTGCGGCTTGCTCAACCACCTTACTATGAATTGTATTGTGACAACTAACCCGGATGAGGAGATTGTCGCCACAATACCTGCAACCTTAACAGAATTAGGCATGGTACCCTTCAAAGGCAGCCACGCCGGGCTGTGCATTAAAGAATGTTACGTTACCCAATTGGACGGACGAGTGATCGGATACGTACATCGTAGCATTGCGGATAAATTGGTGACCAAGCTCAGATGTCTGAAAATTAAAGGGGAGGAGGTTCCCAACACGTTAGAGATTGTATTGGTGCCAATGAAAGATACACCCGGCCAGTATCCGGGATTATTCCTATTCAGTGGGCCGGCACGCATGATGAGGCCCGTTTATAATTTGGTCTTTAAGGAAATTGAATTTATAGGAACGTTCGAGCAAGTTTATCTCAATGTCTGTGTAACTCCTAAAGAAATGTATAAAGGTATTGGTATTATTTGGTGGTCAATGTAAGGATGCCCATTGTGGGGATATTTGGGTAAGATCTAATTTTTTGTGTGCAGTTTCACTCGCAACGCATGCGCAGTGCTTCCCCCTACATTCTACCGGCATGAAAAATCAATTGTGCAATCTACTTACAAGTCAGTTACAGACATGCAGGTTAATGTATGCACGTAAGTTGCTGTCTGATATCACTGTCGAGTCTGCCAATCTATTCTTGCCTTTAGTAAGCGTCTTTCTTTTAGTAGGAAATTATCCTCCCCTCCCCCAATCAAAAGGTAGATTCAATGATCGTTTCAAAAAAAACCACAAACTTCCTAGCAAAGGAAGACTTGATAATTCCCATCATAATAGATCCCTCCAGACCCCCCCAGTGCTACGCTGTTCCCCATAAAACGTTGTGCTCTCAAGGATTTGATAATGTTGTGGGGAAGATGATCAGATTCTTTTCTCCAAAAAACTATTGCACAAAACGGAGCTCTAGGGGGCAAATTTATACATACAGTGATATTTATTAACAAGTAGACATATAGGTTTATGTGTATTGTTTTTCCCTATGTCCACTTTTAAAAATCAAATTCTCTTCTGAATGGCGCCAATACAACTCTTAAAATCGAATAAACACCTGGCTACGCTTCTTAAACTGTTACCAGTACTATACCAATTGACAATATCAATTTTTTCGTCAGTTGAATACATCGCACACGGACGAAAATAAAAATACGGAAGCCAAAACAACAATATTCAAATTAATTAATATGACCGCCAGATCTTTATTGGTTTTAAAAAGGTATTTAGGTTGCATACACTTAGGCGCCCTTCAGAAGAGTGATTTTTGTCATTTAAAAGTAGACATAGGGAAAAACAATACACATAAATCTACAGGGTGTTTTTTTGGGAGCTTTAGTTAAACGTTTCTGGGAAAGTAAAGGCCGAATCGATGTAAAATATTTTTAAAATGGCCGCACTTCCGGAAACACCGGAAGTAGATAGTAACTTGGTTATTTTAAATAGCAACTACTATTTTTTATTAGATTTTTGGATTCTACGTTAAATTTCAGTTCTTGATACCCATATGTCGATACCTGCCATTTATGGTCTTTAAGTTATTTTGACTTTAAGAAAAGAAATGGCGGATGCAGATGGTACCTTGATAATTGATTACTTGAAAACGGTTGTAGTCATGGCAACCTATTTTTGTCAGTGCATAGAGAAGGAATAGAGCTTTCTTTTAGTGCACTTAAAAAAAAGTTAAGTTGCGTACGACCGCCCTTATGGAGATCCAAATTTATGAAACTTCAAAGACTAGAACTCAGTTTTTTTTTAATGGAATGACCATTTTCTTACTATTGCATGAGATAAAGAATCGAAGTGGGCATATTTTGACAATACATGTTCCTATAACTATCTTTAACAGTTTCTGACTTATTCCGATTTTATTGAATTGACACTATTTTTTCAGATTTTCTTTTTAGTAGTCGGCCATGATTTTATAATAATCGAATTTTAAACAAATCTAGTGACACTAATTCGTCACCTACTGTTATAGGTTAAAATAAGTTTTTCAAAAATCGAAAAATGACTCGCAGTGGTTTCACCTATTTTGGAATTTAAATGTTATTTATGGTGAAATGGACAGAATCGCGGCACGTGCTTGCCTTGCATTCATTCAAACACTGGAACGAAATTGTATGAATTTTGGAAATGTTGTACCCCCTAATGCACTACAAACCGTTGAAGCACAAGTGATACAAAGCTCTACAAGAGAATACTTAAGAAAATGAATTGAATTGCAAATGCAAGATTAACAAAATAAATTCAATGCAAAATAAAAAAACTTCGTTGAAACATTTTTGGTATGGAATTGTTGCTAGAACAGATATCGCATTACCTCTCTTAATTTCCAAACTTATACGTTGTTTAAGAAATTCAGTTGAACGACTGTCTAGATTTTTCAAAAATGTTCAGTCCTATATTCTTAATAAATGACTTATTTATTAATCAATTATTTAGATTAGAATCAATGATATTAAAGAATCCAACCCTTGATTTGTTGAAAATTCGATTGTTCTAAAATCATGGCCAACTACTAAAAAGAAAATGCGAAAAAAATTCCGAGATCAATTCAATGAAATGGGAATAAATTAGAAACTGTTAAAGATAGCTATAGGAACATGTAATATCAAAATATGCCAATTTCGATTCTCTATCTCATGCAATAGTAAGAACATGGTCATTCCATTTAAAAAAACTGAGTTTTTAGACTTTAAAGTTTCTTAAATTTGGATCTCCATAGGTGCGGTTGTACGCAACTTAACTTTTTTTTAAGTACACTAAAAGAAAGCCCTATTCATTCTCTATGCACTGATAAAAATGGGTTGTCATGACTATACCTTTTCAAGTAATCAATTATCACGGTACCATCTGCATCCGCCATTTTTTTTCTTAAAGTCAAAATAACTTAAAACCATAAATGGCAGATATCGACATATGGGTATCAAAAGAACTGAAATTTCACGTAGAATCCAAAAATGCAATAAAAAATAGGGGTTGCCATTTAAAATAACGAAGTTACTATCTACTTCCGATGTTTCCGGAAGTGCGGCCATTTTGAAAATATTTTACATCGATTCGGCCTTCAGAGTAACTCCTAAGTACAAATTTTCAAAAACCTACGTATTTTACTTGGGTATTTTCTGGTAAATTCGGTCAACAATGCATAAAAATTACAATGCGTTTGTATATATTTGTGAAAATGGTTTCACCTGGACTTGCCCTTGCATTTTCTACACGTTGAATTTTGCAGAGACATGGAACCTAATGGAAAATTGTTACCAGGCTTTAAACTAGTGAATTAGTTTCACCGTCAGTATCTAAGTGAATGTATAGGTTCTTTCATTAAAAACATGTTTGAATCTAATGCATTGTTCGCCTAAAGTTGTCACATCCATCAGTTTCTGGATCAAACCACTGTATGCCTTCATTACATATCATGTACTGATGTACCTCCCCCCTTCCTAGCCCATTGAGCCCCTCGCCTATAGTGTATTGTGCCTCATTGATATACTGCCTCATAAACAATCTTTCAGCTATTTACAATTTGAGGTAACGGATAAACAATCCTTCAAAGATTCTTGTGGTAATTGGTAATAAATATTCCAATGCATTTTTCAAGTGAATAAAAAGCGAAGCTCTTTAAAGGTGGTTTGGGAATAAAGCCGTATTCGTAAATTACTTCTTGATCAATTTGCGCGTTGCGCACTCTGCGCTCCTTTCTTCGAGTGACCGAAAGCCTTTGTAAATCCATTGACTTGTTCCATAGGGAGGTCTAGTAGTGTATCGAGGTCTTATCCTCAGTTATAATAGGTTTTCATCTTGGGATAAAGCAGTAAACTTCTCCTAGGAAATTTGTCTACACCGTTTTTGATCGGGCCTGAGCAAATTGGGAATCCATCGCGGCGACACTTTGTCCATTCCATTTTTTTTACCGATAACCGAGGTTTTACTGCGCGTTCACCAAATCTTCAACTTGATGATTTCGTCAGTTGTTACTTCCAGAGATCTTCCACATTGTTAAACCATCATAACTCTCTTGCCCATTTGAACTGCTTGCACCAAAATTTGATTATTTTCTCCATAGTTAGAAACGTTAGATACCTAATATAGTAATACGCAACGCATATTCTTTCATGGATGTTAATTGGGCCACCTCCTTTCATTAAAATTGCATAACGCTAAACTTTCAAATTACACATTTTCCCCAATTTAAACTCGTATAGAAATGACAAACGCTAAACGATTGCAACCAAACTGGGAGATTATAAAACACTGCAAAAACTGGATGTAAGAAAATTGTCACGATGAAGCAAATCGTGGGGCAACCAGTTCGTAGTACTGCAATACCATATAAATAAAGTTCATTGAGTTGTAACTAATTCGTACCATTCGTAGAATATTAAACTGTTTGAAGTTTTTGTTCTTTCTGCATTGCTGCTCTCGCTATATTTAGATTGATGGAAAAAATACTAAATTTGAGTCACTTTTCCACAGATTAAATCGAATAATTACGCCTATAATGAAATAATGTGCGCCTAACAATGTCTAATTATTAGGCCAATGCGTATAATTAACCCCATAGTCCGTGGCTTGTTTTCGTAATGACGATAATTAGATTATTCTTCTGTGATTGTTCATTTGTCAGCATAGTAATTCACATACCCGAAATGGAGTTCAAGGAACCTAAAAAGTGCAAATATTCTCACTGATGGCACGCTGTATTTTGGTCATATCATCTAATTTACCCCTATAGCAAAAGGCTATTTGGTCTTAATAGACTTGTCACTTAAAGATCAGTGTAAGATGAGGCATAATTAAGTCATTTGATGCTGTTACTGTACCGTAACCATACGGTAAGCAACCAACGGTGTGCATAGGAATGACGCGAGTGAAAACCAATTAATTAATGGCACTATATCAATATGAGCGTAGGTACTTTATTAATGAGCAAATGCACTAAGAACTGCGTTGAAACTCCCAACTCATATATTTCCTTTTGAGTCAAGTAATCCGTTATATAACTTATTCGAATCCGACGATTCCAAACAAACGTTCACACGTAATATTTTCATTGTAATGCTCGTACAATTACCACAATTAGTTCCTATTATACACCACAAATTATTAAGCTGCATTCCTATCTTTATACACACCGTCCGAGATTACTGTTAGACATACGTCGTTTTAATTAAAATACTAAAAAGTTCTAAGGTGTTATTACAATTTTCTTATGGTAATCGCGCATGTAATAATGTGGCAATTATAATAATTTTACAAAGTGCACTTAGCAGTTAAGCATCTTTTTGCACATACCTAAACTGTTCGTTCGTTTGACTAACGGAGTTCAGTTTACTGAACGCGAAATCCACATAAAAATAAAATTTAAATAAATTATGTTGCGGCTTCTGGATTTTTAATTAATTCTACTTAGTCGTAGTCAACTTAAGTACTAATTTATGTCGTATGTGTAGTAATTGTACGCATGATTGTAAGTTATCGCGCCAGACTGCACTCATGGATTATGGTATAATATTGTATGTTTGGGTTTGAATAAATGAATACTACAGTTGGCGACGAGAAACCGTATTAGCAAAGTAAAAAGGTCTTAGGGTACCCAAAAAAGTGCGTGAGGTGTTTAGTTATGGCGGCATCTACGTACAATGGCTACATTAGGGAGTTTAACCCTAAAGAGTGTAACTGGACCATTTACAAAGAGAGGCTGTTTCAGTTTTTCATTGTAAACAATGTGGACAAACAAGAGATAAAAAGGGCGTTATTGTTAAACGCCTGCAACGAAGAGAGTTATCAGTTAATAAGTAATCTGTGTGTGCCAAATTCTCCCGATGCAACGGACTTCAAGGCTTTAATTGAATTGTGTGATAAACATTTCGCACCACAAAAAGCGTTGTTTCCAGAACGTTTTAAGTTTTATCACGCAAATCGAAACGTGGACGAAACCATCATGGACTGGGCGGCTAGGGTAAAAAACTTAGCGTCCAAATGTAAATTTGGATCTGAATTAAGTGTTGCGATGCGTGATAAGTTTATAGTTGGCATGGAGGATAAAGCAATTTTGAATCGTCTATTTGAGGAAGACGTGAGTACATTAACGTTAGATAAAGCAATTGATATCGCGTTAAGTAAGGAAGCAGTATTAAAGAACTATGAGGCAAGTGCTAATACGGTAATTAAACAAGAACCCATGGAGGTGTACAAAACTTCTCAGCAATGGGCGACCGACAAGCGTAAGGGGAGCAGTAGCAGCAGCAGTAACCAGAGAGCAGAGGCTGGATCTGCAGGAGCATC